CCCAGACCTCAAGTGCAGTCCCACTGGCCACTTCGGAAAAACCTGGGACTTAAGAAACAATGTTTACATTACACTTCAAAAGAGCAGCAGAGGAAAAAAACACCAGCCATAGCCCCACCCCCTGCCCCCATCAACACATTGAGCAGGCTGCAGTTAGCAATCCAAATGAGGTTTCAATTCCCTGCCCTATATAAAATCCTGGGTTGAGATCTTTAATCTGAAGTTATTATTACTATATTAAACCACTTAGAGATGGATTAAAAAATCCCAAACTCCCACCTGTTACCATCTTTAGGTGGAAAGGTATAAATAGGACCATTTTCATTCATAAATGGAGATGAAAATAGTCACAAATACTGATGAATATAATGCTTCCTCTTCAACCCCTGAAGAGCCAGAATGCTAGAATAGAAAGTCACTATGTAACCAATTCCCCACTAGAAATGACACTAGGAACCAGCCATTCTGGAGAGAATCCCCAAAATTCTGTTTGTTTTCTAAAATGTATCAACTGATAAGCAACAAGTAACAAGAAGCAGAGAGTCAGACACAAAGTAGACTCTCAGTGAACGAATGTGGAAGAAGGAAGCGGCACACACTCTGTGGGCAGGAACCTCCCCACCCTGCTCCCCGCAGGCTGCCTTCCGGCGACAGTGCTCAGGCGTGGGACACAGGCCACCCTGAGCTGGGAACACCAGTCTGAACTGGCCAACCAGCCCTCCAGTGGTCTGAAGGCGACCTTCTGGCCTCTACTGCCAGGCCTAAAAGCTTAACTCACAGACAGTGGAGCCTCCTGAAGCAGCCAGAAACCCCCTACTCAGGAGTCATATACTGGGGCCTTAATTTAACGTTACAATCATACTGACCACAGATCCACTTTTTCTTCCAAAAGTCAAAAGAAAGACTAAATTAAATTATGCTTAATGGGAAAAATCATATAATCACCACAAAAGTCCTCAAACACACGTTTCTACCGACACTGCCCTTTCAAAGTCATAAATGCCCAACACGGCCTGAGGCATCGTATGGACCAGCTGGAAGAAGTAACCTGGTAAAAGAGCCAAGACACTGACAACACACAGAAGCAGCAGGGTTCACTCCAGCCCACACTGCCTCGGTGCCCGACGCCAGGCAGAATCCACCAACCCACGGGGTGAGGCAGCGGTCCCTTCACAGGTGGGACTGCACGGAAGGCATGACGAATGTGGAATGAGAGAAGGAAAACTAGCACACAAGTTTTGCTTTCCCACACACGTTGGCACAGATTCGTGCTACTCTGTTCTGAATTAAACACATTTTCTTGGTCGTCTTCTGCTCACCCTGTACCACTGTAAATGTAAATGCCTGGTTTCTCCTTCCCTCATCTGTCCCTTTCTCCACTGCTCTTCCAGAGAAAGAAGTAATTTTTATCTCCCTGAGGACTGAGGCAGCTCTAGAATGACAGAGGCAACTAGGAGTTGAATTCCACTCTGGGTGACCCTAACATCCAAGCTGGGACTCTGAGACCATTCCAAAGCCAACCCGAGTTTCTGTGTCAAGTGGGGAAGGCTGCTGGTTCCCCAAGGTGCCCCTCTAAAGGAAGACTCATTGGCCTGGTTCCGAGATCCACGGGGACCGGCAGAGACATACACCGAAATAATCTGCCTGCAGGAATGAGCTGGCACTCACCTCCACGGGTCCCAGCAAGTCTCCTTTCCAAAAGCAAGCACTTGCCTCTTGAAGCAGCCCAGTAACTCGGTAGATACAGTTGTCTGAGCCTGTATCAAGGCCTAAAGCACCCAAGAGCATAATACTAGGGGTACCAAGATGGGTGATAATACTCATTTGTTAATACTCAACCTTGCAAAACAAATAATAGTAAAAGAAATTTTAAAAAGTGCCAGCCTCCCGGAATTATTAGTTCACGGATTGTGCCCTGTAATACACATATATAACAAAATGGGAGTTCCTCTGTAAGCAAACAACTGCTTCCAAAAGTTAGGTCATCAATTAATGCCTTTTTCACTGAAGACGCCAGGAAGCTAAGGGCACGCACCCAAACCTGGACTGACTCACCCCAGCTCCGTCAGTCTGCACCAGCTTCGGGCTCTCATTAGAGCAGGTGTAGCCCCTGAGATACTCCCCCCCCCCCCCGGCTATTTCCAGTGTGATTCGCAGGCTCCCTGGAGCTTGTTTTCTTTGACTCAAGCACCTCACGTCCTACGTAAAGAATGAACGGTCTCCAAGTCAAAAGGATCAGGCTGGCCAGAAAGTGCATTACCTTTTTTCTGTACAATGGCTCTAGTAGTGCTTAGTTGTCTTTAACTTCATTCAAAACAATTTGGTTAGATTGCATTGTGACAACAATCCTATCAGCCTGAATTGAAAAAAACTGTATCAAAACTGTTGTATTTTTGTGCAGCCATTTTCATACTGAAGATGTGCAACATTTTCAGCACATTATGCTTTATTGTTTCAAGACAGGTAAAAATGCAACTGAAATGCATAGAAAAGATCTGTGCAGTGTGGAGAAGGCGCTGTGGCTGATCGAAGGTGTCAAAAGTGATTTGTGAAGTTTCTCGGTACTATTGATATTTTGACCACATAATCCTTTGCTGTGGGGCTGTCTTAGGCATTGGAAGTTTAGCAGCACCCCTGACCTCTTCCTACTAGAAGCCAATAGCAGGAGATAGCTGACATATCCATATCAATAAAGTAATTGATTAAAAACCCATACGGACTTTTTGGCCAATCCAATAGCATCAGGGCACCCCATCTGGAGGTGCAAATCAACCAGTGTCACCTGTGGGCAAAGGAGAACAGCCCAGTATCACCTGGTGGTTTCTCCCAACACACCAGGATGATGACCCACAGCTGGTCAAGGGGCCGCACTGCAGCAGAGAAAGGAAGCAATCATCCTGGTCACTGACATCCTGCCTGTGTGACAGAGGGCATTCTAACCAAGCGACTCAGATCGCTGTGTCGCTGTCCATCTCAGAGCAGGTCGGTCAGCGACAAGACAGGCTGTCCAGCTGCTGGCAGCTCCAGCCTCACTGAGGGGAACCCTGATGCACCCCAAGCCCTTTGGGCTGAGGACACGAGCTAAACTGTGCAGGGACTGACTGGTCCCTTGGCCAATAAAGGCCCCTTTCTAGGTTCAGAAAAAGAGATGGTCTCTCAACAGAGGCCGGGTGGACCGGAAATCTCCCAGCAGCTTCGCTTTCAGCTGCGTTTGTCTCATGCTGATGGTTCACCGCCAGCCCTGTAAGGACAGAGGAATGCGAAGCCCCTTGGTCAGCCCTTGGGACCCACGGACACGGAAAGCCAACTGCACGGCGTGTGTGGGGTTTGGGTTTTGTTTCTTATCCACAGCTGTCATCTCCTTCCTCTCCCAGGGGAGGACCCTACTGACTGTGAAGAGCATGTTAGCTCAGAGAAATTGCACTTCCCAGTCTGGGGTAGAAGCTCAGGGAGGAGGGCACCACGGTCAGGCCCAGGAGAAGGATCAGGAACGCGGGGGGCTGGAGTGGGAGGAAGGGCTCCCAAGGGGACTCCGCAGAGCAGGCACTTCTCTCAGGGTGTGGTAAGGAGTGGACCCCGCTGGCACATTCGCCTCACACAGCGCGCGGCTACCGCGCTGCACTTGGAACTTGTGCCTCCCGAGAACAGCAACTGGAGAGAGGGCCACACGGGCCACAAAGCGTCCTCTGTGGGCCCAGAGTTCAGAAATTTTGGATAATGAGCGTAGGCCCATGAGCATCTATCTTATATCAGCATTTACATTCAACTCATTATCAGGTATTTTTCTGAAGAGAAAGCTCTGGAATTTAAATCTGAAAAGTTCACACCTAGTTCTCTTTTTAACCCTGCCCAGGTAACAGTCTTCTGAGTTTCAGATTCCTCATCTGTAAGGTGAGAACAGCACTACCTGCCATACCCTGGTCCAAGGATCACTGCTGACACTCACAAGCGGTAAAACGTGAGAAATGATTTCAAACAGCAAAGGACCAGACAAGTGTTGGCTGCCCCAGGGACACAGTTATGAGCAGGAAGGAAAGGTCTACAAAGGAAGAAAAGAAGAGAAGGTTCTTCCACCTGAAAGAGAAGCCTCGAGCATCCTGGGGAGGAATTTTAAGCTGTTGGCTGTACATTGAGGGTGTACAACAGATTGCATTATTATTTCGAAGTCAATTCTCATGCCAACGCATTCACTTTGCACTGACCGCAGAAGGAAAATAAGAAAGATTAAGAGTGGGTGTCCAGCGCTTAGCTCAGGAAACAACTGTGCAGTTCCACCTGGGGGTGGGGGAGGGCGGAGCTGGTTATGACAGCCGTGCCGGCAGAACACTGTTGCATAAGATGACAGCAGCAAAGGTGCTCTATTACCGAGCACAGAAGTGTCACGTCCTCCACAGCCCGTGCACTGCACCTATATAAGGACAAGTGGTGTCGCCCATAGACGGATTCGTAAAAAAAGAAAAAGAAAGGCCATTCCATAGCATCAAACAACCCTAAGAGACTCAGGAGGCTGGCTCCCCACAGGAGGCCCTGGGGAGGCGAAGCTGAAGGCAAAGACGCCCGGAGCCCGCCCGGAGGTCAGGTGCCGCCATAGGAGCTGCAGGCGGTCGGAGACGGGCTGGTTCTAACTCATCGCAGATCCGCCAGACAAACAGGAGGTGCGCTTTGCGAAGACCTGCCTCCTCAACGCAGTACAAGAACCTCAGAGACTGCACTGCAACACAGGCCGAGTTCTCCGAAGGGGACCGACACCAACTGCCCAGGGTGACTCGGCGCACGGCGCGCCGACCGGCCAACCGGACGCGCAGGCGGCCAATCTCTAGTGACGACTCCCGGGACCGGGTCCCCAGGAGCCGGCACTCCCCGAGGAGGGCAGGGAAATCCGTACCCCGGCCCGGGCGCGCACCCTGCCCTCCGGCAGAGGCCGGGCGGGCAGAGGCTGGCTCCGGGGGAGGCTGTCAGCAGGGGACGCCGCCCGCGGTCCGGCGGCCGCGCGCGGGTACCTGGTGCAGGGCGGTCAGGCCGTCCACGTTGGCCGTGTTGATGTCCGCCCCTCTGGCCAGAAGCCTCTTCACCTCGTCGGTGTCCCCGCTAGAGCAGGCGGCCAGGAAGACCGCGCCGTCCTCGAAGCGGACGCGGGGGGCCCCGCGGCTGGTGCGCGCCTGCCGCTCCGCGGACTCCTGCTCCGTCTGCGAGCCCCGCCAGCGCCGCAGCTGCTCCGCCCGCCGCGCGCGCGCCGACTCGGCCCGCTTCCCGCCCAGGTGCTCCAGCTCGGCCATCGCTCGGGCCGGCGGCCGCGGCCGCGCTGCCGCGGCTAGGTCACTGCTGCCCTGGGGGCCGCCGCCGCCTCCCTCAGAGCGCGTCAGCCGGGAGCAGAAGGCGGAGACCGGCGTGCCACCATCTTTACTGCTCCGCCGCTAGCGCCCCCCGGCGCGCTCCCTGGGCTTCAGCACGCAGGCGCGCTGAGCCCCGGGGCATCACGGGACTTGTGGTCGGAGACCGGCCCCAAGGGCGCCCCTTGGCCTTCAGAGAACTACAATCCCTGGATGCAACAGGAAAAGGGCCAGAACCCGTGGCTCCCTACCCAGCCCGGGACCCAGCGGGGTCACCTTTGCCCCAAAGCTGGAACTGACTCCCTCAGCGGCGGCAGCCTCTGTGGGCATTTTGGGAGTCGTAGTTTATTCTTGTTATGACTACCAACTACTCTTGGCTTCCTAATGATCACATCAGGCCTTTGAAGTGGCAGGGGTTCCGGAATTAGCCCTATATTATTGGAGAAAACTAGACAGAAAGTACCTGGTTCTAAATCTAGACTTTTATTAACGTTATAAATATAATACGTTACCATGTTTTAACCACAGTAAGTGCTATTGTGCGTGGGGAGGAGGACCGCACACACGTACAGTATCACAAACTACACCCATGTACTTCGAATTTGACACAGTTCGAGGCTTGGAAGAGATCCTGGAAAGGACGTGTGTCAGGTGCAGCCCCAGACAAGTCAGGTGACTTCTCGGAGCCTATTTCCCGAAGCGCGGAATGGGAAAAATGTTTCAGGTATCCAAGTGGATCAAATAGGATAAGGTATGGAAGGACACCTAATATTATCCCGGGCATGTATCAGCTCGCAGCAACCATTAAGTCCCCTTCCTTCTCTCTTCTCCTCGACCCTCTTCATGAATCTTAAATTCTTAGGAGACAGAACAGATGTCTTGTCTACAAAAAGGCACTGGGGAGCATACTATAAATTCGTAAGGCAGCAAACTGGGCATTTGCATATTCACAGTGAACTTGGTTATAAAACCTGTCAGGCTGATTTAATATCTATACCCTCAGCTCTTTAGGCCTGGACAAAATTAATTAAACGTGTTATCTATAGTGAAAGAGAACACATATGATTACTAGGTTCTTCAAACTTTTCAGTGTGTTGAAATTTTTTCATTTAAAAATGCTGCAAAAATTATTAGGCCATTGTAAAGGGAAACTTTATTATATCCCTTTTATTAATGCGATATAATAAATCTGCCCTTGCCACAATTTCCCCTGAGATGAACTGAAACTTAAATGAAAAGTTACATGTAATTGGAAAATATTGTTTAATAATACTATATCCATCTACAATATGCTTTAATTAGGTATTCTTAAATAACTTATAAGTACTAATTAAGTCCTCCAGCATCTTTATGAACTGGGAATAATATATATTATTCCTTGTTTTCCCTGCTCTGTGTGTCAATTTATAATCACTGTAGAATTTGCCATGCCTCATCATCTATAGCAATTAAAAATTCTGTATGGGATTTACATTGTACAATAACTTGTCAACATTCCAACTCAGCCTCTGATAATTACAATTGCCCACAAGCCCTCGCTAAGACTTTCCCGGTAGGATAAAAGAAACACTGACATTAAATCCAATAGGAAAGGATACACAGGTAAAAGCCTAACCCTCTTTAGGAAACCGTTATCAGCTAAACTGCCAATCTGGCAAGGAAGCAAAAAAGTGAGAGGAGCAAGGTTTGTGCAAAAAGCAAACTGCCAGAAGCTCAGGAAGCAGGCCTGATGGCCGGCCTAGTGGCTCATTTTAATACCGTGTTCCCAGCACACAGCAGCTGCTCCAAAGTATGTACAATCAAACCGTGTATTTTACTGGCCTGGTTTTCTCATGAAGGTTTTTTAATTGGGGTAAAAATTTCAGGGGTTAATAATGTCACATTTCTTTTGGCTGTATTCTTTTCACATTCAGAATGTGATCTCTGCTTCCAGTTGTATAAATATGCCAAAATCCACTAAGTCCAGGTTAAATCCTTACTTTCCCAAAAGGTATGAACTTAAATTTCAACAGGCAGAATTCTGTTTCAATACCAGGAAGTACTTTCTTCCATATCTATGTTACTTGCTTTCTTTCCCCCTGAAGTATTGGGCTGGCCAAAAAGTCCATTATATTTTTCCATAGGATGGCTCTAGTAGTGCTTAACTGTCTTTAACATCGTCATTCGAAACAATTTTGTTAGATTGTGTTGTGACACCTGTCATATTGGCATGCATTTAAAAAAAACATATCAAAAATGTTGCGTTTTTGCGCAGCAATTTTAATATTGAAGATGGAAGAAGACGTGCAACATTTTCGATACATTATGCTTTATCGTTTCAAGAAAGGTAAAAAATGCAACTGATACGCATAAAAATGATTTGTTCAGTGTGTGGAGAAGATGCATTGACTGGTTGAACGCGTCAGAAGTGGTTTGCGAAGTTTCTTGGTAGTCCAGACATTTTGGCCACGTGTTCTTTGCTGTGGGGCTGTGTTAGGCATTGGAAGACGTTTAGCAGCACCCCAGCCTCTGCCCACTAGAAACCAATAGCAGGAGGGAGCCGACATACTCAGAATATCCAAATCAATGAAGTTACTGGTGAAAATGAGAAACATGTCTTTTATTTTGGGGAAAAGCTGTATGGACCCTTTGGCCAGTCCAACAGTGAGAGCACAAAACCCTCTTTGGGTGTTTGGTATAAGCAGCTAAGTTCCTTGGACAATTTATGTCACACTCACCTGGAAAGAGAGGGGTGTCTTCCAGCTATGTAATTATGGAAAGCAGCACTAATTATTTTAATCTAACTAACTGAACTGGCTCAGCCAAAAAGATGTTATGCCACCAAAATAAACAATTTCTGTACAATGGTTTGCAACAAATTGTTTTTTCCCCCAGCCACGACTCACTGAGAGTAAACATATACACTCAGCTCACTGAACAAACATGACAGAGATACTAAACATTCTACTCTGAAGAAACTATATTTTATGTGCAAGTGATAATATCCTGGCAAATAAGCCTGTGAATACATAAAATTGTGTACACTTAAATGTACTGAGCTGACTATAATGCATGCACGTATATTCTTGTATAAAGAAACACAGGTTTCCTACATACACGCGGTAACGATTACAGTGGTAAAAGGCTCCGTTTTTAATACCTGCGCACCCCGTGTCTGGAATCTCTCAGGCCGGCTTCCGTTCCGCGTTCCCACGTTCCCACGCCTCCCCCTGGTGGACAAACAAAAACATCACGTTTAACCCCTTGTGGCTCTGTCCTTGGAGCCAATCCTTCTCGTTCGGTTGCTGAAAACTACAGATATTTGCTTGTTTTCCGACGCTACCCCTTCACCAGACTCAATACAGCTCCTGCTTTTTCTAAGAGACCTTTTAAAGGCGTTTCCAAAAGAACCACCCAGGAAGAAATCAACTTCGGGTCCGAAGACAGAACTGTCTCTGAGATCCAGCTCCAGGTAGGGTAGGAAGGAAATAACCGAAGCCCCATTCGTCGTCCGCAAGCCACCGTTAGCTGGTCCATTCCTGCGACCGCCGTCGGGGTCCGCAGGGCGGAGTCTGGAGGAGAAAGCATATCCCAGGCGGTGGTCTCCGGGCCCCAATGCGGACCAAGCGCAGAAGTCACTGCGGGGTCACGGTAACGGCTGGCCGGCCATCTCTCCCGTGGCACCGCTCTTCCAAAGCCGGCGGTGAGCGGAGAGCAGTGAGACGAGGGTTCGGGGTGGAGGGTGTCCCCGGAGGCCCGTCCTCTGGCGTCCAGCGGGTGTGAGCTGCTCCCGGGCGGCTTGGCTGTCCACACGAGCTCCCGGGTCAGGATCCGCGCAGCGGAGGCGGAAGGACCTTCGCAGTCTAGTCCTGACTTCCGCCCGACCAGGATCCGCCTCCGCAGCCCGCGATTCGGTTCCTAGTTCTGACCGCCAGCACGATCACGGAGCTCAGGCCGCACCCTTGACCTCCACCTACGGTCTTAGGCGCGTCCTCCGTGTCCCGCGAAGTGCCACGGCTGCCCTGCAGCACATCGAATCTTTCCCCTCCCTCCACTGTCCCTCCGGGGATTGGTTTCCAGTGCCTTCTCCGATAAGACCACAGAGCCAGTCCGGTAACCCGCCTCGTAGCCGTTCCGGCCGCCCGCAGGAAACCGGGCTGGGAGCAGCGGGCTCCCTACCTGAACCCGTCGCGTCTCGCGCTCACCTTTGAATTTGGGGCTAAGAGCGCGGGCCAATGGGCGACTGCGCTCGTCTCCCTGCTCCACTGCGAGCCAATCAGGACCGGCGCTCGAAGGAGCGCGCATGCGCGGGTGGCGGCGGGTTCGCGGCGGTTTTGCTGTGTGGTGGTCCGCGTGCGTAAGCCAGGGGCTGGTGTTGGGGCCTGGCGGGGCGTCCCTGTGGGTCTGGGTGCGCGTCCTGCTCCCGCGTGGGTGTGGACATCCCTATGGGTGGGGCCCTCGGGACCTGACGGTCAGCCTGTGGGCAGGCGGGCGGGCGGACTAGAGCCCAGGCTTGGGCCCCGCCCACCATAGGTCTCTGTAGAGGACCGAGAAGCCCCTTAACCGCTCAGGGACTCGGCCCCGGACCTACATTGACAGCCTGTCAGAGCTCGGCGACGGCGCCCGGAGTGGAGAGTGGGGTGGGGAGGGTGGACGGGACCTGTTCCTAACAGGGAAGCACTCCCTCGACGCGTGGATCCGAGATGCACTGAATGGGTCTGGAGGTCCGGGTTGGTTCCCGGGGCGTGGCGTCGGGGCGGGAAGGGGGCGTGTGGGGGCGTGGCGTCGGAGCGTGTGGGCGGAGCCTGTGGGCGTGGCGTCCGGACTCTGGTGCAGGACTCCAGCCCCTGCGAACACTGGCGGGGTGGGGCCTCCATTTCTGAGCTCCCGGCGCTCCCACCCGCGTCCCCGCCTGTGCACCGCATCCTCGGGTTAGGCACACGTGCGCTGGAAGCCGTAAAACCTGTAAATAAAAGGCGTAAAAGGGGTTCACCTGAGGCATCTATTTGTCCTCCAAATGGAGACCATGCGCCAAACCCCAGCTACTGTGTTTCAGAGCTGCCCTTTTCTCCCGCGAGCCCTGAGCGTGCAGGGACCATGCAGAAGGCCTCGCGCCTGCGGAGAGAGCTGAGCCTGTTGGCCACCGAGCCCCCGCCCGGCATCACATGCTGGCAGGACGCGGACCAGCCACAGCTGCGCGCGCGTAGGTGCCCGGCGGGTTGGGGGGGGGGCACCCTTGGCTGAAGACTGCTGAAATGCGAACAGTTGTCCCTTCGCGTGTGGGGAACCATCCGACCTCTAAGTGCTCCCCCTGTCCTTCTACCCCAGTCTGTCCCCATTTGTAAAAGGCTTGCTTGGCGTCTCCTGTTGGATCTTTACGCTACTTTTGCTGATGTGTTGACGTGGTTTGGGCGTCAGCATCTTAACTTCCTGCGAGGCCAGACAGGAGACGGAAATGATGAGCAAGTCTGTATCCAGCCTTTTCCAGCTCCTGCCAATCTGCTGTGTACCCAGTTTGACGCCCTCACTGTCTGGGCATGGCGACGGCGCATTTTTTGAGGACTGGTTAAAACCCTAAGAGCATCACTGTCCCCACCGGCTCCTCTGTAAGGCTGTGGACTTTGTTGGGTCCACGCAGGGTGGTAATTCAGGTCACTGGATCATCTCTTCGCTTTATCTTTTTTCCTTCTAAGAAATAATAGGTGGAGCCAACACACCTTATGACAAAGGTGTATTCACACTGGAAGTGGTTGTTCCTGAGAGGTTAGTATGGGTTAGGTTCTGCACCTGCAGTGCTAAGGTCAGGGGCAGGAAGACAGAGCAACGTGGGAGTTAAAGGACCTGGGTGTTAGTTCTCTGATCGTGACTGGGTGCTGCCTGTTTAGATGGTGCAGGGCCTGCTCCGGGTGGTGGGGGTAGGAGTGTTTTAATACTGCCGTCTCAGGTTCCCCTGTGTGTGTAACCTGCCATAAGAAAAATCGGGGGAAGGAAAGGCTGTCTTTCTGAGTGATCACCGGGAAGCTGCTCGTGGTGGATGAGGAAGCAGCGTTTTAATGAAAGTCCTCTGTTGTCCTGTGCTTCCAAAGGTACCCGTTTGAACCACCTCAGATCCGATTTCTGACTCCAATCTATCATCCGAACATTGATTCCGCGGGAAGGATTTGTCTCGATATTCTCAAGCTGCCGCCAAAAGTGAGTGGGGGTGGGGGGCTGATAGCAGCACCGTGTGGCTGTCAGGTGGGTGCCGCTGCCCCTCGTCCCTGCTCACGCAAAGCCCTGCTGCCTGTGTGCAGGGAGCCTGGCGGCCGTCCCTCAGCATCGCCACCGTGCTGGCTTCCATCCAGCTGCTCATGGCGGAGCCCAACCCCGACGACCCGCTCATGGCTGACATCGTGAGTGCCCCCTGCTCTGCGCTCCTGACTCCATCGGCGAGGTTGCTGGGCGCCAGAGCTTACCCGGCAGGTCCTCCTTCCCTCCCTGACTCCCTCCTTTCGTTTGTCTCAGTCCGCAGAGTTTAAATACAACAAGCCCATCTTCCTGGAGAATGCTCGGCAGTGGACAGAGAAGCATGCAAGGCAGAGACAGATGGTGAGGCATTTGCACGGCTCTGACTCTCTGCTGCCATCGTCTGGTGGGCGGGAGTTGTCACTCATTAATGACACCAGGGAGCGGGCGATGTAGATCTCTGGGGGTGGAGGGGCTAGTGAGGGGCAACTCAGACATGCAGAGTCTCTCCCTAAAACTTCTTGCTGGTACTGTTTGCAGGAGGCGGGCAGGGGTGAGGGTGCAGAAGGGAGGGGAGTGGACTTTCTCCGCCCGTTTGCGGGAGCAGGAAGACTCCCCACTCGAGTAGCAAGCTTCCTCATTTCCTGAGCAGACAGTGCAGGAGTGCAGGGTGAGCTCCCTGTCCCTGCTGAGCGGCAGCATCCTTGGGAGTGAGCTGAGGGGCAGTGAGGGCCACCTGTGGGGGAGAAACACGGAACACGCTGACGCCGAGCACCAAGCCACTTGAGGGAGCACCCAGCCCAGGGGCCGCGGAGAAGCCCCTGCAGGGGCTGCTCAGGGCTCGGTTGTTCTGTCCTGGCACCAGCCTGAGCCTCTGGTTTTCCTCCTCAGGCTGGCGAGGAGGAGATGCCTGGAACCCCACCAGCGGCCGGTGACTCGGTAGCACACAACACAGCACAGAAAAGGAAGGCTGGGCAGCTGGGAGGCAGGGAGAAGAAAGTCTGCCCCGATGTGTAGGGGCTGCCGCTGGCCCTGGCCCTGGCCCTGGCCCTGGCCCTGGCCCCGGCACAGCAGAGTCTGCGTTTGGACCAGGGCAGCCTGGTTGGCCCTCCCACCTCACCTGGTTTCCTTGTATTTGATGACGCTGTTGCATTTGTGCCGTATAAAGCAGGCCTCAGGTAGTTATGTGTTCTGCCCGTCACTGGTTCTCTAGTGGAGTTTGTTTTATTTAGCTTGTACATATGTATTTTGAGATGTTTTAAACCTGAAAAATAAATAATCACTTAATGCTGAGTGCATTTGTCCTGAACGTGTGTCTGGGAGCGAGCGGGTCAGTGCACTCCCCACAGGTGAGAAAGTGAAAGCAGCCGCAGTTGCCGTGGTAGCTTTGCCGACTCACCGTCACCCCGGGGCCCTCCGGGGCTGCAGGGCCCGCAGTCAGCGCAGCAAGCGCCTGCGGGAATGCACCGTTCACCTCTGCAGCGTCCACGTTCTGGGAGTTGCACTGCCGATCAGAGTCACTGTGGGTGCCTTTCAACAAGTACCCACTGGGCACCTACTGTGTGCCCGGGTTTGCGCTAGTGTTTTAGACAGTGGTGGTGAGGCGTCCAGACGTGGATTCACCTAACAATTGAATTTAAGCAGGGGTTCTTATAGCCCCTACCTGTCCCTGGCTCCATTTCAAGGTACACCCTGCTTGGAACAGTGGGGTGCTAGCCCTGCACCCCGACTCAGGATCGTGGGTGCACATGGCTTGTCCGCATCATCCTGTTAGGTGACAGAAAGCAGGTGGAACAGAAGTCAGGTGAAGTGGAAGGAGGTTGCCCTGCTGAGCGGAAGACTCTGAGGACCGCAGGTAGCAGGACCGTCAGGTCCTGTGTGTCCTACTGCAGTGACCACGTGGCGAGGTGCCCTCACGGAAAAGCATCTGAGCAGGCAGCTCCTGGTGGCCCCCTGTGAATCCCCGGGCCCATCCTCCGCCTGCCGCAGGACAACTGCGGCCCCAGCTCAGGAGCGAGAGGTGGATTGACTGGGACAGGACGGCAGAGACTGAACACGCCAGTTCCCCTGATGCCCCACTTCCTCCGTTCCCGGCTTCCCCGGAACCCATTTGTCTCTTCCTAAAGCCCAGCACCCACTTGGCTCCAGGCTCATCTGTGCTCACGTGTGCTGTGTCCAGCTCAGGGTCCTAGACGTGAGTGTGTCTGCGGGTGGCCTCAGCTGCAAGCAGAGCCCAGCTCAGGGCAGAGCTGATGAGGGTGCTCTTTGCTTTCCTACCCACGAGGCCCGGGGCAGCGTGAGCACCAGGACTGGAGGGCAGGAGTGTCTGCCTCCCCACCCACTGTCCGCAGCGGTGACTTTCTCAGGCTGTCTGCTCCTACCGTGACTGCCAGCACCAAAGCCCAGGAACTGCCTTCATGCAGCTGGCCATGGACCAAGTGCCTACGACCGTCGGGCCACCCTGAACCCCAGCTCCATGACCAGGAAAACTGGGTGTGCAGTGGCAGAGGGACTCGGGGGCAGGGGGGAAGGTCCAGCCCTGCAGGACGGACCCCACCTGCTGCTTCGGCCCAGGCAGCCCTCGGCTGCCAGCCCTGCCCCCGCCCCAGCACCGGCCCACTGCCAGCCCCTCTCCTTGCGCAGACACAGCCGCCACCTTGTCTGCTGGTCCCCAGCAGTGGCCCTCCCCAGTCCATGTGTCCCGAAGCCACGAGAACGGGCTTCTGATGACGCCAAAGCCGGCTCTGACTTCCCTCCTTCGAGTCCTCCCGGGGCTTCCTGCCCTGCCCCTGCCCCTGCCCCTTCCTCCACCCACCCTCACAGAAGCAGCCACGCCCCACGCCCCACTCCGGCCACAGGGCCGTCTGCCTTGGCACCTGCACAAGTGCTACCCCCTCTGCCTTCCTGGCCGTGACAGTCTCTGCTCACAGGCAGCCGCCCAGGCATCCTCGCCTGTCCCTTATGAAGGGGGAACTGCAGCCCCAGGCACTCTGGCCCTGGCCACTGCTCCCGGGGTCTGTGTCACACCCCCTGCCTGAGAGCCTGTCCAAGAGCTGGGGACAGCGGCTGCAGGGGCTTCTCTAAGCGTAAGGCCCAGGGACTCAGCTGCAGAACAGAAGTGAGAGGGGAAAAAGCCCGAGGAAGAGTGGGAGCCGGCTTGTGACGGGGACCCTGGGGCCGGCCAGCCACCTTCCTATGCCCCAGTTTCTCCTGCAAAACGTGGGTGACAGAGACCTGACCCACAGGCTGTCATGAGGACTGGTTCAGAGGAAGCTCCCATGGACTCGGACAGTGTGCACGGAGCGCCTAGCAGGGGACAGGGAGGAGACTGTGGTCACCCCCAGGTGGTCCCTAGAGCCGCTCCGCACCCATCTGCTCCAGGACAGGCGGGCTGAGCACCCCAAACCCCTAATTCAAGAGGAGAGATGACACGGTGACCGATCACATAAACACTGCAGGTTGCACGCCCCCTCCCCCCGGGCCCGCCCCTCCCCACACTCCGCAGGGGCATCTAAACCAGAGCAGATTGTGCTGCTCACCTTGTGGGCGGTCTCGGCGCAAAGGCCAGGCCAGCTATTCGTCCTTCAGCTGCCGTGGGAACTCAGCACGAACAAATAAAGCTTCTTTCCAGACGAGTGTGTGTTTTCCCACCAGTGGGTGCCCCCAACCTCCCACCCAGGTTGTCTTGTTTATAGGCCTGGCAGGCTGGGGGAGGCAAGGACAAGGACAGGAGAGGAGAGGAGAGGTGCTGTGGTTCCAAACCCAGGCAGGCCGGCTGCAGTGCCGCTGGACGGGGCTGCCCACGAGCTGGCAGAGGCTGGGGAGGGGCGCAGACCTGCTATACCCAGAGACGACATTCTCCGCTTTGTCCTTGTTTCTTGGGATGTCTCCCCCAGCCCAACCGCCAGCTCCTGCCAGCCCCCCCAGAATGCCCACATCTCTCCCCAAGTCTCGGTTTCTATCAGGGGTGACCAGTGACCCTTCCATTCCCCTCACCTTCAACAGGGACCCCGCGACTCCACTTCAAAGATGTCCCGCGTGGACAGCCTCCCCCCAACCTCTCAGCAGAGGGGACCTCCTGGGGACTGAGGCTGAAGCTGCAGGTCCCCCGCAGATGGGGAAGTCGCCTTTGAGGCGCTCCAGAACAGGGTCGGGGTGGTCCCTGTAGGGGAACATCCAGCTTCCCCCACCTGGCAACTCACCCCCGACCTCAGAACGTGACCAGGAGCCTCCTCCTCCAGGGTCCCGTGTGCCCCACGGTCACCCACAGGCTCGTGCCTGGCTCCCCTGCTTTCCCCTCTGGGTAGTCCCTCGTCTCCAGTGCTGCCACCTGAGCAGCTCCCAGAAGCCCATGGCGGGGAGGGTGGGGACTGAGCATCTGACAGTTCCCACTCACTCTGTGCCTGGCACTCACTTCCTCACACAAAGAATCTCCTTTGCCGACTTCAGTAGCCTGCAGAGTTCAGGCACCATCCCACCGACCACACAGACAGGGGTTAAGGGAAGCCCCCAGACAGACGCCTGCCGGGCCGGCACGTCTGGGACTCCCACCCAGGCCTGGCTGGCTCCAGAGCCCCACTGTACAATGCCCGGACCCTGGACCCAGTGCCAGTATTCACGTACCCCACCGCTCCGCCCCCAGAGCAGCGCCCCCACCCCCAGGCTCCTCTCTGCAGAGCGAGAAGCTCCGCAAGGGGCTCCCAGTGCAGAGCCTCGGTGGCCCTGCGGTTCTGACTCCACCTGTGACGTCCAAGGGCAGAGCCTGTGGACCTCAGGGGCAGGGATGAGGGGACTAGGTGGGTCTCAGTCACCCACCCACCTTCCCTTCCGTGCTCACGGTCGTCCACATTCACGCCTTGCCCTAGGTCATGGCGAGGGGCCTCCCCCCTGGACCCTTCTCCCCTCCTGATGGCCCACCCCAACGATCCTCCTGGCCCAGCCACGTTCCCGGTCAGCAGCTGCCCTCTTCACCCTCACACTGTATGTGGGGGCAGGGGGAGGCCGAGAGGGGGTGTCAGGAAGCCTACCTCCCCGTGGCAGAACTCCGCCAACCCACCTGAGCAAACAAAAATCACGGCTTCCCTAATGAACAAGTCCCAGAACGTTGGGCGCTCCAGCCCCGCACACAGAAAACAGGACAAGCTGCGGGGCCGGGGAGCAGGCAGCAGCCGAGGCCCAGGCAGAGGCCCTAGTGCACAGAAATGGGGGACTGGGACGTGCGTGGGGGTCCGCAACGGAAAGGACCAGCACAGGGCAGGGCGCGGGCTGGCGTCCGGGCCGCCCCGGGCAGCTCTCCGAGACGCCTCGGCCTCGTTCAGGGAGGAGCTGCGTCTCCTGGCCAGGTGTCCCTACTAAGTGGGGAAACAACCTTCACGGACGTATTTGGATACGTTGATTCCCTGATTGTTTTTTTCCAACAGAAAGCACTTGAGCACCGGCTGCAGAGGCCCCGGAAAGGGCCGCGGTCGTGGGTGTGCGAGGCGCTCTGCAGCCTGTCCCGCCGCGCCCCCGGACAGCCCTGTTCTGCCTGAGCAGCCCACACACAGACCTAGAGTCCCGAGCGCCTGGCCCCAGTGGCCGACCACAGCTGGCTGCCGACCTGTGATTCGGCCTAGTGGGGAGAAAGAAGCTGGCCGGGGGGAGTCTCACCGTCTCTCGGGACACCGCCCTGGGAAATGCTGGGAGGAGCCAAGGCCCTGTGCCAGGGCACAGAGTGATGAGCCGGCGGGGAGGCCTGAGGAAGACAGGGGATCCCGTCTGCAGCAGCCGAGGGCTGACACAGGCTGAGGCAGTAGCAGCAGCAGCAGCAGCAGCAGCAGCAGCAGCAGCGGTGGCGGGTCCAGAAGAGGCAGAATGGCTTCTGTGGTCACTTTCTGGGTCCCAGGACACGGGGTTGCCAGGGTGGGAGCCTCCGGGATGCAGGCCTCTCCGGTCTCAGCTCCGACTCCCCACTCCAGCCCCGGCGCCTCTCCTCCTGGGAGACCCGCCCTCCCGTGCCGGTGCGCCTGCACGCGCCCGTGACTGCTGCAGGTGGACGGGACCTCACGCCACAGCTCCCACCTGGGCCCCCAGCGCCTGCCCACCCCCGCCGAGCACCCCCCTCCAGGAATTTATCTTGTGGATATTCTTTTTTAAAAAGATTCTATTTATTTATTTATAGATCGAGGGAGAGGGAGGGAGAGAAACATCAGTGGGTCGCTTCCCACACGCCCCCAACTGGGGACCTGGCCCACCCCGCTGAGCTCCGCCCGCCCCACCCGGTCTTACTGTGCATTCTTATCCTGCAAAGGGCCCCCCCAGTTGTCTTGGGACATCACCCCCCTCTGAAGCAAGGCTTGGGGGACCAGGCTCCCGAGGCAGAGGAGGGGGCCCCCAGAAGAGGAGAGCACACTGACCTTTGGGGTCAGGAGACCAAAGCACAGGCTTGCGTCCGAGTCCACTGGCTTCTTCTCTCTCCACACGACTCTCTCCGACCCGGTGTGAGCACGAAGGGCAAGGGCCATTGATTCTGGACCCCGGGCCTCCTTGGCGGGGCCCCTGGTGCCCGAGCTCAGAGGCCAGGCTGAGGAAGAGCCTCGACACCTGACCGCTCCCCGAGCCCACCCTCGGGTCCCCCAGAAGTGGGAGCCTGGCACACGTGATACTTCACGATGCTTTATTGTACGGAAGAATCCCAATATGTACACTTTACGGTTCTCATACCTCACACAGCCGAGACACGGGGGGACCGCGACCCAGGAGTGACGGGGGTGGGGTGGGGGCCGTGGCCGCCCCAGAGCAGAGGTAGTTACAGGGGGGGCCAGGAAGGAAGGAGCACTGGCACCTCCGTCACTCGAGTCGCTCAGGCCCTCGGAGTCATCAGCACCCCGCCCCCCAATCCTTAAACCTGGCCCCCTCCTGGAAAGCAAAGTCGGGGAGGAGGCTGGGAAGCTGGAGGTGGGGGAGGAGGCGGAGAGAAGGCCCAGCCGGAGGCCATGTTCGTCCTGGAATCTCAGCACCAAGTTCAGGGGCTGTTTCCTTCCACTGTGTCTGGGCACTTCAAAAGTCCTGGTTTTTTGACCTCAAGAAGTTCTCCACCGGCCGATCTGGGAGGGGACGAGGTGCCCGGAGCCCCGGCCCTTCGACAGGTCCTTCCCCTGCAGGACGCCGTTTGGGGAGATTTTGTGGACCCAACAAAATGCTCTTATAGGCGTTGAATCATTTGGTTTGCGGTTCAGTGTCTCATCAAAGTCACACAAAACCGACCCTGTCTCCTGATCACCATGGAGACCCGGGGGGGTGGGTGGCCCAGTCGCTTTCTGAGTCAGAGCCAGACACTTCCCGTCGCCGCCTTATTTTACGCAAGTGCACTTGACGTCTGCTAGGTTTTCCGACGAAGAAAAGGATTTGGGGGAAGATGTCTCTGCTCTGCCCGCATCTTCCGACCAGCAGGGCCAGCCCGGGCGCCCGCTTGGGTCCTCGCGGGGATGCGATTCTGGCCTCGCCCCAGAGATGGCAGCCAAGGCGCACTGGCCCCTTTCATGGCAGCGGCCACCTGCCTGGACAGTCCATGACTCCGGGACCTCCTGCACGTGGCCTACAGGCCACACCCCACTCCCCACGGCTTCCCAGCCCCAAGGGTGGGGTCTGGGTGACTTCCTAGAAGTCAAGGCTGCCAATGTCACACCGACTTTATCAACCCTGGGCACCTTGGAGAGCACCTCTCCACCCAAGAGTCGCCTGTTCGCTGTGCCCAAACCAGAGCACACTTAATGTGCACCTGGCATTCCCGAAGGACCCACCACCAAAGCAGCGTGTGCATGTGGAGAGGGCCGACCCGAGGCCGGCACACCCATTTCAGAGCCTGCGAGAGTCCGGGCCCCTCAGCAGGTCGGATGGGACAGAGGGAAGGACCCATTCTGCTCCTGGTTTCAGCCACGTCTCGGCAGCGTGGCCCATGCACACTGTGGACTCGGGTCAGCGCCCGCCCGGTCTGGGAGCAGCGGGGGCACCGCGGAACAGCCAGGCTGTGAAGCCCAAGGACCGTCTCAGGGTGGTCTTCACAGCTGAGCCCTGGGAAGGGGGCTGAGGGGCTGGGGGGCTGGCTGAGGACTGGAGACTCGGGAAGTGGGCCATGTTGCCCCCGCTCAGATTCCAGGCCCCTGTCCTGATGTGGCCAATGTCGGGATGCCCCGGGACAGGAATCCTCCTGGTTGTCTTTGTGTGTCTGCAGAGTGGTTCTGCTGCCACTGCCTCGTCCCCAGTGTGTGTGTCTGGGTGGGGAGGGGCCTCCCCGGGGTGCTCAGAGGCACCGAGCGAACTGCAAGGTGGGAAGGCATGACGGGCCAGGCAGAAGGGTCCTGGCCTACTGGGTCCCCAGGCCCCCGGTCTCTGTCATGCTTTCTACAACACACCCATGCAACAAACGCCCCTCCAGTTTTCTAGCTAAGGGCCACCCCCCTCAGAGAAGGTGGAGCCCAGGATGTGAAGGGAGGACCCAGCTTCAGCACGAGGCAACACATGGCGGCACCCCAGTCCTTCGCAGGTGCAAACTCTGCTGGCTGATGTCCCCACCTGACTCAGGTTGCGCCCCTGGGATCAGGGCACCTTGTGGGGCCCCTGGGAGAGAGCAGCGCTGAGAGGTCGGCCGTCCACGAAAACTGAACAGGCAGACAAGCCCTGCACCCAACGGCTGGGGAAGCTGGGGGAGATGGCGGCAACGGGCCCCCTGTGCAGGGGTGGTCAGAGCCTGTGTGGCATGGGCGTGGCCTGCGGCCCTCAGAGAGGGCAGCCTGTGTGCCGTAGTCCCCCACGCATCTCCGCTGGGCACATGTTGGGTTAATGGGACGCAGGGCACATGCTGTGTCCGACCCACGAGTGGTGGGGGAGATATCCACATGCCTTTGGCCATCCCTTGCGGGCCTGTCCCCACGAGGGCCCCTTCCCTGAAGCAGAGGTGAGTGGGCAGCACTCGAAGGACAGCCCAGAGGAAACCGGGCCACACAGCCCACGCCGGTGATGGACATGGGGCCCAGGGAGCCAGAGCCGGGGCCCTCCTCCTGGGCACGACAGGGCTGAGTGTGGGCTGTGTTCATTTCACAAGCAGCCCATGGAGGGGAGGGAGAAGCAGACGGGACGCAGGGTGGGAGACATTTACACGTGGGAGGCAAAGACGGAGCCAGAGCACTGGACGCCCCTGCCCCCTGCCGAGCACCCGCCACCCGGCGCAGCCCCCTCTGCTCTCGGCAGCAGCTCCCTGCCCCTAGAGGGCTGCTGGTTCCCAGAGTGGGTTCCCTCTGGCTCTACAAAGCAGCCGCCTTCCAACCTGCTGCCCCCCGGCGAGACAAGGGCCACTGCAGGGAAGCCATAGGTCTCTGGCCCGGGGGAGCACCCAGCCTCAGACGCTTCCAGAATGAGATCCACATCAGAAAAGGCCACCAGGGCCTGTGTGGAGTCGCAGGAGCTCTTCTGCAGGTGGCTGGCAGCAGCTGAGACCAGGGGCCGCGAGGCGCCCGCCCCGGGCCAGAGCCGCCCCAGGTCCTCGCGGAAGCGGGGGTTGGAGAGCAGGTAGAGCAGGGGGTTCAGGCAGGCGGGCAGCGGCAGCACCAGCAGCAGGACGGACTTGACGGCCTCGGGGGCGACGGGCGCCAGGCCGAGCATGGAGGCCACGCTGAGGAAGGCCACGGGGCAGTGGAGCAGCCCGTCGGCGAGGATGAGCCAGGCCACGTGCCGCACCAGGGCGCCGTCCCACGCCGTCCCCAGCTCGCCCCTCGGCAGCTCGCAGTAGAGTCGGATGTGGGCACAGGCCGCGACCAGGAAGCAGAGGGAGTGCAGCATCACCAGGGCCACGGCGAAGCCCAGGGCGGCCGGCCGGCCCTCGGGCAGCGTGTAGGGCAGGCAGAGTGGGGAGGCCCCGTAGTCCCCCACCGAGGTCAGGGGCAGGGCGGCCGCCAGCCCGGCCAGCGCCAGGCAGCCCAGCGCCCCGGCTCGCACGCTGCCCAGGGCGGGCGCCTTCCCTCGAGCCCGGGCGCAGGGCGCGGAGATGCTGCCCTGCACGGCGGCCAGAGTCAGCAGCAGCACCGAGGCCTCCGACCCGAGCACCGCCAGGAAGCCCGTAGCCCGACAGCCTGGCCCCGACTCCCAGCGAGCCCCGTACTCGGCGAACCAGCCGAAGGTCAGGGCGTCCACGGAGGCCAGGAGGCCGCAGGACACGCCAGTCACGGTGTTGGCCCCGGCGATGGCACCGACCAGGAACTTGACTGGGGGCAGGGGGCCGGGCCCCCCCGCGAAGACACTCAGCAGCACCAGCGAGTTGCTGAGCAGCGACAGCACCGCCACGGCCCACACGGCCAGGCGGATGCCCCAGCTCTCAAACAGGTGCTCGCAGGGCTTGAAGGGGCCTGTGGGGAGAGGGCAGGCGTGGTCCTGGGCTGCAGGGACCCCCGTCGGGGCTGGGGTGACCCCCGGGAGAGACTCAGGACAAGCACACACAGGGCACACAAACGCACTACCCGCTCAGGTAGTTAGCAAAGGGTAAGCACACCATTCTTCCGTGGGAGCAGCTTCGGGGAGAAAGGAAGGGACAGGCAAGTCCAGAGCAGTGGACAGGCCGTCGGGATTGGGCCGGAGGAGAGACACCTGGGTGCAGGGGCTGCCCCAAGAGCCAGCACCCCGTGGCCAAGGCTCTGCTCACCTGGCCTGGCCCCAGGGACCCCTGAGGACCCCTCTGTGCATGGCCCTGACGCCCCTAGTTCAGGGCCAGGGACACAGACCACACTCAGTGCTCACAGCGTCTCCCCGTAGCTGGGAGGCACATTTAGGGCACACGCAGCTTCCCAAATCCAACTGGAGGGGACTCCTGGGGTTTCCAGTCTGGTTCTGCTCAGGGCGGTCAGACCTGCCCCTTCCCCTCTGGGCCCCTACGTTCTGTCCTCTAATCGCCTGGTCATGCTGGACACGTTGTGTCTTCATTCCTCTCAGCTCCAGGCCCCTTTCTTGCCGTGCATGGCTATGTAGCTCGGGGATTTGAAAAAAAATTTAGGAGCCATTTTAACACGTTTTTTTTCTGATTACTAAGCAATAGATAGTAATCATAGAAAAGCTGTAAAATATAGCACGGAAAAATTAAAACTAATTATGATCCTACCTCTCAGAGAGAAGCCATCATTTTGGTATGTTTCCTTCCATTAAAAGATACGTATATACATAGATGGTTTTCGACTCCACTGGGGTTTCACTGCGTATAGCTTTTATTCTCTTTTAAAGTTAAAATTTTGTTAGGTGCTGCTCACCATGCCCCTCGTATTCCTCTAAATACATGATCTACTTGGCCGTTTGTACAAGCCATGTGAAGGCAAGTTCAAGTTGGGCTTGGTCCTTGAAACATCCTCTTTCACCTGCTGACTCTGGGTTTTCAGAGGTGAAGTTTCTGTCCAGGACGAAAAAACAGCGCCAGCTCCCTGCTCTGTGCTGGCGCACCTGCCCGGGCAGCCACTAGAGGGCGCAGGGCAGTCGCGGGCTCAGAGGACAGGCGCAACTTCAGCCTTAGGGGGGCCGAGGTGGAAAGAGGGGCCCGAGGTGGGTATGGGGACGCGAGTCACAGGGGATGGGAACGTGGAGCACAGGCGTGGGTGACGCAGAGAAGCCCACTGTCCCTTGCTCCTGGCTGCTGGCCTGGCCTGGGCACTGTGCCTTGTGCACCCAAGGGTGATTTGCACGGAGGGGAGAGGATTTTCCTCCTTTTTTTACAGAACACGAGTTTAGGTTAAGCTCTAAAGAAGCTTTCTCGGTGGTAAGGGCTGGTCGTGCCCTAAGTAGTCCTCTGGGGGCGCTGGGGTTCCCACCCTGGGGCATTGTGAGACCCTCTGGGACTAAATGGAGCCCAGAGGGCAGAGAAGGGACCCTGCAGAGTCCTGCCCCCATGAGGGTCTCAGGCTGGGGGAGTGGTCAGGAGCCGCCCGGCACTCCTCTGAGCAATGCTTCTCTCTTCAGTGGGGGGCATCTCCTCTGGGATGTGAGACCTCTGATTGGTGGGTTTGGTGAGGTCTCTTTAACACCCCCCCACACACCCCTCCTGCCCAGGAGTCACGGAAGAGGCGGTCCTCCCCAGGAGGTGGGTTCTGGACACAGAGAGCCCCTGCACACAGCCACAAGCACACCCTGCGTCCACACCCTGCGTCCGCGCCCTGCCCCCACCCCCTCAGCCCCAGCTCACCTGGAACGGGGCTGCACTGGACGCTGGGCTGCGGCCTCCTGTCCTCCACCTGCAGCTGGAGCTCGTCCAAGTCCAGGTCGTCTGATGGGAAGACCAGAAAGCGGCTGGGCTCCAAATGCCCCCCCCTTTACCTTTACAAAGTCACCGGCTCACTCCACCCAGCACAGCCCCCCCAGGCCCTGGGCGCGAACACTGGTGGGCACCCTGTGACCCCTGCTGGGTTCTCCACGCCCTGGGCTCTTTGCAGAGACCTGCCTTTCTGTGACCCGGCTCTGAGCCCTGCCCAGGTGGGAGAGTGTGCAGGTGCTTCCTGCAGTGTGTGTGTGGGGGGCACGCAGCCTTGAGGACAGGAGCTGGTGACCCCAGGGCTAGCCCAGCACTGTCACTCCCTGTCCCACTGGAAACAGTGCACATTTCGGAGGACACCTCCTGACGGCGGGGTTGGGGGGACATTAGAGGACGGAGGGATGGAGCAAAAAGGAAAGAGGACCCACAGACATGGAGCACAGTGTGGGGGGTGCTGGGGGAGCGGGGTATCAGTGATAATGGGAAAGAAATACAGTAAGAAAGGACATTGTCTTAAGATGAAGAAGTGAACCAGTGTCCCGAGGAGGAGACCCCAGGAACAGTGAGTGGAAACCACGCGTGTGAGACGGCCCAGCAGCTGGGACGGGGAGTGGGACACACGGACTGTCCTCACAACGCTAAAGGACCCCTGACCCGCGTGGCTCAGTGGGCGAGGCGTCATCGCGAAAACCGAAAGGTCGCTGGTTCGCTTGCCGGTCAGGGCACATGCCTGGGTTACATGCAGGCCAGGTCCCCAGTGGGGGGGGCGGTGTGAGGCAACTGACTGAGGTTTCTCTCCCTCTCTTTCTCCCTCCTTAAAAATAAATAAAATCTTTAAACAAAATGCTGACAGCCTGTTAGGCACGAAGGAACCGTTCTTCTGTTCTGTGTCCTCCAGGAGGCGGCCCTCGGGGTCCCAGGGGAGAAGTCGCCGTTCCCAGTGACGTGCATGACTCCCAAGGTTAGGGTGGTCCAGCCAGTGGTGCAAGGAGGTCCACACTCGGAGCCCAGTGTGGGCTGCATGCTGGGCGTGGGCACGGTGGACCCGACACGGCCGGATCTCAAGCAGCTTATGAGCACAGACAGGAAGGGCCGTCACGACTGTGTGGACTGGCGCCCCTGGGCACCGTCGCAGAGAGGAAACCGAGGCTCGTGGAAGGGAGGTGGCTGGCCCCCGGCCTTGGCCAGTGAGCGAGCAAGCGGCAGGGCTGACTCCACACCCAGGTGTGTCTGACCACAGAGTCGGGGGCCAGACAGGACGCTTTCCCAGGGAGAACTGATGTGGGGGTGGGGGGTGGGGAGCTTTACAGAAGCAGGGCGAGTGCCCCTTTCACCAGAGACGCTGACGCAGGCCGTCCCTAACGTGAGAAAGGGCACGTCTGCACTGACTCAGAGGTGGGACTCGGCCGACTCCACCCATCCTTCCAACAGGATTCTAAACTGTCAGCCAGAGAAACAGGATTACAAGGTAAACACATTGCTAAAGACCAGTGGATTTTTTCCTGTTCTCTGTTACAATGTTTCTTAAATGGTGGCCGGCTTGCTCCAGCAGAGAGGGGCCCGGGGGAGGGGAGGGACAGACATCTCAGGGTCCACAGATTGTATCAGGATTTTGAAACAATCTGACACATTATGACTATGCAGATGAAACTCCTGCACCGAGTGCAGGTTGGAGAGTCAGTGCCTGGGGCTCTTCTTCCATCTACAGCGGACAACGAACAGGTGGCAGTGGCACTTGTCCCCATGTCTGGCTCCCACGGTTTCCTGTGCAGACCCTTCCGCCCCAGCCAAAGGGTTCACATCTGCACTGGGAGCCGTCCAGAAGGCGGGTGGCCAGGGAGCTGCTGTGGCCCAGACTCTGGGAGGCAGAGGCCGCCGTGTGCCCAGTCCCGGCATTTCCTTCTCTCCCCACCTTTCCTCCCGCCTGCGCCTGCTCTCCAGAGTGGAGCCCGGCTGCACTTTGAAGTCCAAGTGCGTGAATGAAACACGCCCGAGGAGTCCATCAGTCTGCGGCTGAGAGTCCCAGCCAAGGGCTCGAGGACCTGCTCTCCCAGCGAGGAGGAAGTCGAGACTGGCCCAGCGGCAGCCCCTAGCTCTGCCCTAGACCTCACCGCCCCAAGGTCCTCACAGACCTGGGTCTGGTGGAAAGTTTCACCTTGAGCGAGCAGAGTTTCCACTGCTCCTTCCAGCCCCTGAGAGGGTGTGCTGCGGACGTCCAGCCGTCCTGGGGACAGCCCAGCTGCCGGGCCTTCTGCCTGGCGCTCACCCTCCTGGGGAGGGCCTTTAGCACATGGTGGGGGGGCTCCCAGAGACCCCATCACTTGTCCACACGCTGCCCTCCTGCACCAGCAGGCACAGATCTCGGTAGCGGGGTGGCGGCCGGAGAGGTGGATCCTGGTCGCCACCTGTGGTATTTGATCTGCCCAGAGGGTGTGTGATTCGGGTCTCACTTTACAGGTAAACTGAGGCTCGGCAATGCTGGGGGCCTTGTCCAAGGCGCCCGGCTTCTGGCGGTCAGTCTGTCCAGTTTAGAGGCCGGGTCTGTCCGCATCGCCGAGAGATACTGTCCCTGCGCATGTAGATTTCATCTTTCCGCTCACTCCTCAGTTGTCCGAGGGCAGAGAGGGTGACAGCAGACAGAAATGCAGAGCTCTGCCTGCCACTGCGGGCGGGGCTGGGCCCGGTCCTCACCTGAGACACCTTCAGGAGGTGGTCTCTCAGATCCCCGTGGCCGCCTGCCCCCACCTTTTTGCCTTCTGCCCAAATCTTCCAGAAATGGGGACCCATCTGGCCCCGACAGCCTCGGCTGGGGTCCCCTTCTCAGCAAGGCCCTCGGGCACCCGGTGGCCTCCGAAGTGTCCCTCTGAAACTTGAGGGGCTGGCTGGAGGGGCAGGATGACACAGACATTATACTGCCTATGCTGTTCCTTTTGACTCCAGGACGGAAGTGGGGACTTTCTCTGGAAGCAGGTTGAACTTAATCGACTTAATTCAAGCCTTCTCCTCTCGGGGGAGGGAGGAATGGGTGTGTTCCCAAGAATGACCCGCAACTGAAGGGCTTCAAGGAGACAGGGTGGGGAGGGGACGGTGCGCACCGGGCAGGGAGGCAGGGGTGGGGGGTGAGGGGCTTTGTGAATTCGAAGGGCAGCCTTGGAGAGACGGCCCCTCCCCGAGTCCCCTCTCAGGGCCCTCAGGCCCCGGTCCGCCTGCCCTTCTCCACAGGCCCCGCCTGCGCCTCCCAGGCCTCCGTCACTCACAGTGGCCCTCGGCTTGTCCTGCGAGAAGTCCCAGGGGACTCTTGGGAGCTTCCTCGTCGTCCGGGTGAAAGTCGTCCACCTCCCACGGCCCGGGGGCCTTGAAGAAGCCAGTGCAGAGGCCGCCGTAGGCACAGCACTGGTAGGCGTGGGGCGCCTCCAGGATCCTGCGGGGCGGGGAGGGACACGGCTGCGTCAGGGACGTTTGGGGACTCACCCAGGTTCCCCACACCCAGCGCCTGCCCTTGGACCCCAGAACGCCCCCGCGCCCTGCAGGTGGCTTCCTGGCACCGCACTGGAGGGTCAGCAGCCTGGCTCCTGCCTGGAAGGTCTGGGCACATTTCAGTCTGGAGAAAGGAGCCGGGGCCACGGACCCGCTGCCCCAGCTCAGAGTGGGCGCGGCCCCCAGGGTCACACAGCACGAGGGGCCCGGGTCCTCTCCCAGCCAGCACCCCCTCTCTACACTGAAGGAGACGGGTCCTCCTGGTGACCTCTGTGCTTGCCCCAGGGAGGCCTGCACCCTGGCCCCCCACCCCGGCACATCGAGCCGGGTGGGTGCCCCGCGAGGGGCCCTGGCTGCCATTAGTGCTGGGTGGGCGATGCAGTCGGGGTTCCGCCCAGCGGCCTCGTTCTGCCCTGGCTCCAGGGGCCCAGAGGCAGCTCAAATGCGAGGGGGGGGGGGCAGGGAGGTGCAGGGGCCTCCCATCGTCTTCCGTCCTCACGGGGTCCCCTGGGGCTGGGCAGGGAAATGCTGCAGAGAAGGGGCGGGAAGGGGGGCGCGGGGCCCCCGCTCAGCCTGGACACCAAGCATTTCCGGTGGCCTCTCAGCTGCCCGGGGGCAGACCTCCCTGGGGGGTGGGGGAAGCCAGGCCCTCACCTCAGTCTGGGGAGCCTGTCCTTGGAGAAGGTCTGAGACAGAGCCGGGTTCCCTCCGAGTCTGAGGTGCACCAGGCCCCCCAGCCCAGCCAGGGGCAGTGCGGTCAGCTGGTTGTCTCTCAGGTCCCTGGGACAGTGGACGGTCAGGGTTACTGGCAGTGGGGGGACTGTGGGGCCAGGGCCAAGCTGAGGGTGTGGCCAGGGGAGAGGAGCGAAGGGTGGACAGGCGGGGAGGGGCCGGCAGAGGGGCCGGGCACCAGGCACTCGCTCCTCATTGGCTCATTCACACATCAAATGTCCAGTGCTGCTGTCCACCAGGGGTCATTCCGCTTCAGGAGTGACGGGGCCCCTCAACCACAGCTCCTGTGCCAGGTGGGAGTCCCATCCAGGAGGCCCCCCCCGGCCCCTGCCTCTCGGATGACACTGGAACCCAGAGCCGGGGCTGGACAAAGCTGGTCGGCTGGTCATCCGTCCCCTCTGCAGCCAGAAGTGAGGCCGGGCAGGTCTTACCCCGAGTCAGAGGGAGGAGGAGGGGAGAGGCCTGCAGCCCAGGGAGCCCAGACTGGGGGGACTGTGATCGCGGGCACGGAGGGTCCCTGCGGTGGAGTCGGTGCAAGCCCGGGAGGGGTGAGAACCCCTCAGTGAGAACCAGAAGGGGCCCCTCGGGTGGACGCGCCTTCTGGACACGCAGCCAGCAGGCAGCTCCCCTGGCGCCGAGTGGGCCCTCGCCACAGAGGGTGGCCGCACAGCAGGGGCCCTTCCAGCTCTGACATCCCAGCCTGGCGGCCAGTGCGCCAGGGTACCCGCCGTGTCCTACCTAACCCCAAGCCCGTGGCGCCCCCACCTGCAGAATGGCAGCACTCCGAGGGGATGTCCACGCTGGGGTCCTGGCTCCCCCTTCTGCCTCCACCCTCCAGTGCTGGGAGGGGCTCAAGGCCATCAGCGTAGGGGAAGGGAGGGGCAGGGTGGGGCGCAGGGAGGCCCAGGTTCCCAAAATGCTGCAGAGCACCCCCAGGTGACGTCCCACAGCCTGCAGGGGGCACACTCTCTGGTAACAGGCCCCGCAGCCGGTCACATGGCCGGTTCCCGTGACTGATGAGGCTGGAGCCCTTGTCCCCGGGACATGTGGTCAGGCACCCAGGCCGGTCCCCACTGGCCGGCAGCACCCAGGACGGGGACACAGAGGCACTCACAGCTTGACCAGGGAGTGCAGGGTGGAGAAGGCCTCCGGGTGGATGGACCGGATGATGTTCCAGCTCAGGTCCCTGGGGGCGGAGAGGGTGTGAGAGGAGGGGCGGGACACGAGGAGGACTCCCTGTCCCTCCCCGGGCTCTTCTGTACTGGCCCCCGTCTGAGCCATCCCTGGAGCAAAGGCGCCTGTAGCCTGGCTCCCGGCCGTGGCCCCCGAAAGGGACGTGGCAGCCTGGCCTCAGAGCTTCACAGTCCCTGGGCACCCACTGGAGATGCGGCTGGAGAAGCCATCTGGGGGCAGGGCAGGCACCTGGCCTATTGTGTGTGTGTGCAGGGGCCTGTGTGCACGACTATGTGTCCACGTCACGAGGGCAGTGGCCCTGAGCCGTCCCAGACGTCCCCCGAGCTGGGTGCACGGGTACTCACAGGGTCCGCAGGGAGCTCAACTGGCGGAAGGTGTCGGCTCTGACCTCCCAGATGCGGTTGTGCTGGAGGCCTCTAGGGCAGCAAGACGGGCTGGTGACCGGGGGCTCCGGCCCTGGTTGCACTCCAGGCCGAGCCCCCCCAAACACACTGGGCAGGGAAAGGAGAATCCCCACTTCTCCTGGTGCAGAGAGTGAGGGCCTGGCCCGCAGCAGCCGCCGGCATCAAAGGAATCCGGTTGCTTTGGGTAAGTGGGTCAGGGGACAAAGCCACAGAGCTGTCCCTGTGGCCCAAAGGAGAGTCCGTTTCCAGGGCTCCCATCGGGCCTGGCTCCCCGCCCAGCAACCTCGCCCCGCAGGTCCTCCAGGCCTGGGTCCAGCACCAGAGCCCTGTCCTGCCCAGCCCTTGCTCTGCCAGTGACCGGCCCTGACAGAACTCAGCGGACTGAGAGGCTCGGGCCTTGGCGCCCGCTGGGGCACCTCGACCGGTCCTGACACCCCACCCGGGTCCCCAGAGGCACTCTGTTCCCTGTCAAGTTGGAACCCAGGCCCCCGCCGAGTGTGTGCCTTGCACAATGGCACACACACGAGAGCACACACGTGGCTGGGGAAGTGACAGTGGGCTCTGAAGGCAGGCCCTTCCCGGGTCCAGTCCCTCTCGACCCTCAGGGAGCCTCCTGGATCCTCCTTGAGCACCGGCTCCTGGCCGGTCAGCTGCTGCCCAGGCCTCTGCCCAGCCCCCACCCCCACCTCGGGGAAGGTCAGCGTGCGGAGCCCTCCCTGCAGACCGCCTGGAATCTGCTCCTGCCCTCTCATGCCCCCACTCACATCTCCTCCAGCTTCCGGCACCTGTGCAGGCTGGGCAGCTCCTCGATGCGGTTATGAGACAGTTCCCTGGGGAGGGGGAGGTGGGGGGCCAGTGTGACATGGGGCCAGGGGACCAGCCCTGTCAGGAAGCTGAGGCAGGGAGGACCCTTTGGGGACATGGCTGCTGACACACGTCACACCAGGACCCTTCCCTGACCAGGAGGGACCTTTGCAGCCCAGGGGGACCACGGGCATGAGGTGGGGCTGTAGGGGGCACTCACAGGATGCGGAGCCTGGGCAGCTGCTGGCACATCCCGGGTGGGAGCAGCCGGATGCCAGCGCGGGTCAGGGTCCTGCAGGGGGATGGAGCCAGGGACAGGGAGAGGAGCAGGTGGTGGGGCCCTGGGAACCTGGCGCCCGTGCCGCCCGCCCCCGTGCCTCAGGAGAGAGAAGATGGGAAGAAGGGGGAGGGCAGGGGCTGCCCGGGGAGGGGGCAGGTTGGAGAGCAGCGTGGGGCAGGGACAGGTGTCCCAGGAAAGACCCAAGGCCAAGTCACGCTTGGAGAGTGTTTTCCGGATGCCAGTGAGTCTCGGGGGACCGCAGAGCCACCGGGGGAGTCCCCTCCCACCATGCCTTGGGTGGGCTGGGTGACATGGGCCGGACAGGGGACCCCTAACTTGTCCCATTCGTTCTCTCAAACGGTCTCAGGGCCCACTAAACCCCGACCCCTGCCCCCCTGCCCCCAGGGGTGAGCGAGAACGTGCAGGCTGACACTGGCTTCAGAAGTCCGAGGGGGTGGCCCCTCGCTCCCTGCTGCAGGGCCTCAGGCGTCCACGGCTGGGGCAGGGACCCTGAAGTCACTCACCCCAAACCACCTGCCACCCACCCTGCCCGCAGTGGTGCCCCATCCAGAGTCTGGTGTGGCCTGGGGGTCCAGCCGGGCGACCTCTGGAGGGGGACCCCCAGCAGGAGGCCCCCCAGACAGGGGCAAGCAAGGCCTGAGACACCCAGGTGGGTGGAGTCCAGGGTGGGGGCGGGCGGCCAGAGAGCCACTCACAGGGCCTCCAGGCTGGTGGTGCCTTTGAGGTCTGGGAACTCCTGGATGTCGGTGGCTCCGTTCAGGGACCTGCAGACAGCCACAGCCTGAGGGCGGGGTCTGAGCGTGTCCACACCAGCGCTCGCCCCGGGGGCTCTCCCCACAGAGACCTCCACACCCCGTGGGGGGAGTGTCGTCCTCCCCCGAAGCCCAACAGCTCCGGGCCCAGGTGCAGGCTGGGCTGTGCTCAGCGGGGGCGGAGCAGCCATGAAGCCCAGATGGAACCGGCGCCCGAGAGGTTCAGGTGTCACCTCTGTTTGGATGGCGACGGCGCCCGGGTGCTTTGGAGGAAGCTCGGGCTGCCAGGTTTGCTCAGAGCCTGAGACAGGGGTCCCCGAAACTCTTGTTTTCTACGGTTGCCTCGGCACCCCTTTCTTAAGCTGCTTCAGACCAGAAGCCCCCCCTGTCACCCCACATCTTGAGGAGACAGGGAAGGCCAGGGACCTGCACAGGGAGGGGGGGGCGGGCGGGGGTGGGGGGGGCAGTGTCTCAGGCTGCTGCCTGTGATGTCTTCACAGCCCGCACTCAGGGTGGGGAGGAGGGTGACACAGGACACCCAAGGGAAGCATGTGCCGATGCTGGGGGCCACCATGGGCGGGGCTTCCCCGAAGGGGTGGGACTTGGGCTGGGAATGCAGAAGTGGAGGGAGGAAGCAACGCAGTGCGGCCGGGTGCTGGAGAACCACAGGCGACCTGGCCCAGGAGTTTTCCCGAAGCTGCTCCCAGATGTGACCACCTGCAGAGGCCGGGTCCAAGGCCCTGCCCACCCACTTGGGGGCTGGGAAGAAGCTACAGGGGCCAGGAGGCTGTTCGGCCACCACATCTGGGAAGGGCCGGAGCAAGGGAAGGCCTTCCGCCTGGAGCTTGTGCCTCTGAGGTCTGAGCCTGGAGGGAGGGGCGGGGGGCAGGGGTCCCGCTGGGGCAACGCACAGCGTGTGCAGCTTCGGCAGGTCCTGGAACGCCGACCTCCCCACGGACTGGATCGGGTTGTCGTAGAAGTGTCTGAAAGAGCCCCAGACGCTGAGCTCAGCGACTGGGCACCTTCTGCCAGGACCAGGGCAGCTCTCTGCTGTCTTCCCCCACGGAGCCCATGAAGAGCACCCCTCGCCCGGCCCCCCGGCCCGGCCCGCAGACGCTGCTGGAGGGGTCGGGACTCACATGGCCTGCAGCAGGGGGTTCCCCACGAAGGCCCTCTCTGGCACGGCCCTGATGTTGTTGTTGTGGAAGCCCCTGGAAGGCAGCACGGTTAGTGGGGGCCGGGGACGCGTGAGACCTCACGGGGACACACGGGCTCCAGGCAGCTGGCGGACCGCCCCCCAGAAAGGCCGGAGACCAAAGGGACACCTGCCGGGAGACCCAGGTTCAACCCTGTCTGTGACTTTTGTTCATCCGGCATCACCCCCACCCCCGCCTCCCTGTGCAGGTCGGGGAGGCGGGGCCTAAGGAAGCCCTAGAGCAGTTCAGCTGGGGGGGGGGGGTCCTGTCCGTCACCACCACTGTCACTCAGGCAGGAGCCCTGTGGAGGGTCCCCAAGGGGGAAGCGGAGGGCGTGTGGGAGGAGGAGACCGAGGTGGAAGGAACGGAATGTCCAGGGGATCCGGGGGAGCGGTGAGCCCCAGGTGGGTGCCGGCTTGACCTCAAGGCACGAAACGAAAGCCCAGAGAAGGGGGCAGGGCAGGAGGACTGGGCAGAAGGTGGGAGGTTGATGGACTGGACACAGGGACCCAGGGACGTGAAGACCGGGGTGAACGCCTGGGGCCCTGGGGCCCTGGGTTCTGGGGCAGGAGTTTACGTTTGGTTAGCTGGGAAAGACCTTTCAAAATAAAAGCTCGAAAGAATGAAATAAAATGAGTAAATGCTGGGCCATGCAGCACAGAACCCTCACAGAGCAGCCACCCTGGTCTCCGTGGTGATTCCGGCTTCTCTGGGCTTTCGGGTCACGTCACCTCGCTCTCGGTCTCCCTCAGCCCCAAGCTGTCCCTGACCCTGGGCCTCCAGACGATGCCACCACCTGGGCCAGCTGTGACAGCGCTGAGCTGCTTGCCGAGGGTTTGCACATGCAGGGGACAGAGGCCCTGTCCCCGAGCGGCTTTCCCTCCGAGTCACAGAGAAAGAAGCAGATGGACAGACACGTCCATGCACAGACCCACCGGCCACTGCTTCCTGAGCGTGTTGGCCTCTCCCTCCTCTCTCATCGGACGGAACCTCATCCTCGTTGCCTGCCCAGCCGGAGGAAGTCAGGCCTCCCAGCCTGCGAGAGGCAGGGGACTTCCAGCAGTGCCCTCCGACCCGCCCTCCGGGCGGTCTGGCCCGCATCTAGGACCAGGTGGCGTGAAGGTGCCCCTGCCGCCTGAGTGGAGACGCCGCCTGAGGTCTGGGGCTCTGCTGGTCGCCCTCGGCTTCTCTCTGGCTGCTCACGCCCCGGTCTGTGGCCTGTCTGTGCCCCGGTCCATCTGCCCCCCGCCCCCGTCCGTCCCGGCCCCCCCGCGCAGGGCCAGCAGAGGCACTCACAGCTCCTGCAGCCTGCCCAGCGTGCGGACGGCGACGGGGAACTGGTGCAGCTCGTTGTGGTTCAGGTCCCTGGAAGGAAGGGGAGCCCTCGTCAGGAGCGGCCGGAGCGGGGGCTTCCCGGCCGGGGGCCCCGCCGGCTGTGCGGGGAGACACGTGTGAAGACGTGCGCGTCTGCTGAGACCCCGCAGCGAGCAGCCTCCCGACCAGGGGACAGGGAGGCCGGGCCAACTGGCTCAGAACCGTCCCCGCTGGCCAAGGAAGCCCTTTAATTAAGCCTTTGGGGACATCAGTGGGGCTGTGGGACAGATGGGGAGGGAAACCTTTAACAACTGTCACCAGCTCTTTGGATTCTAGAAGGTTCTCAGGCGACTCCCTGGGCTGCCTGTGGCCTCTGCCCTCACCTTCCGTAAGAACGAACAGCGCCCCTTGGCATAGGGCGGCAGCCGGCAGCTCACCTTTCCCCATTTCTCAGTTTCCACGGTGAGCACGTATGTCACATGTGTGATCACAAACATGGCGGTGGCTTTGAGACTGGCATTGCCCCAGGTTGGTAGGGTGGCGAGTCGGCCTTCCAGCCAATGACAGGTGGCCATTTAAAGGGGCACCGCCTTGCAGACGTCGGCTGGCCGCGTGTTTTCAAACCGATTGATGCCCAGTTCCTCCATGTCCAGGGACGGGTCCGGCAGAAGGGTCTGCACCCAGGTGTGAAGGCGCTCAGAGGACAGCGCCCCAGATGGGGCTGCAGCAGGGGCGGGGGCCACATTCCTGGCATTTAATCTGCCACCGGCCGGCCGTGGAAGCCCCCCAGACGACAGGCCGGGAGAGCCGGGGCGTGAGCCCCAGTGCGATCACAGAGTCTTCTTAGTCCCGAAGTCACCTGTCACTGTGTCCAACTGAAGGCCCCTGACCTTGGCTCAGCCCACATGTCCGGAGGACAGCCGGACGTCCCATAGGGGACACCCAAGCATCTGCACTCAGAAGCCTCCATGCTGCATTATTCTTTTAGGCACTAACACTTTCGCTGGTCAGGCCTGGAGCTCTGGTCCCACACCCTGTGCCCGGAGCACCACCGGCTCTCACCGGGCTCACTCTCCTACGACGGCCCTGTGTGAAGCCGCAGCCAGTCGCCCTGTGCCCACCCCCGTGAGGCAGGCAGATTCAGAGCAGCCACCGCCAGACCAGTCGACACGCCGAACACTTCCAACTCCCACCGTCTGCCAATCATAGCTCAACACACCTGGGGAGAAGCCGCCTGCAGCCCTTTGATGCCTCTATTACGATCGACCTCCCCACTTCTGAGACAGCGCTGGCCTCGTGACCGGCGCTGGGCAGTGACCGGCAGAATGCGGCGGGAATGACTTGGCATGAGCCAGTCCTCAGTCACAAGCGGCCCCGCAGCCTCGGCCTCCCCTGGGTGCACTCCCGCCACTGGGGAAGGGAGCGGGGTGGCCCGGAGAGAGAGGCCCGGCCTGCCGGACACCAAGGCCCAGACATAAGCGGGCCCCGCAGGACCCCCGAGCCCCAGCCGAGCCCCTGCTGACCGCTGAGGGGCCTGAGGAGGCTCCGACAGGACGCAGTCACGTACGCCCAGCCAGGCCGCGGAGCCACCAGTGATTATAGACTGTTGTACGCCCCTGAGTGTGAGGCCGTAGATGATGTGACACCCCACCTACTCTCTCCCCGCGGAGCGTACTTGCATCTGGCACATATTTGTCTCTTTTCTTCCCACCCAGGGAGAACGGAAGTTCCCTGAAATTAGGGACTTCACCTCAGACTTCACACCCCACAGCAGCGCGGGTGCAGAACTGAGCTCCACAGATACTTGCAAAGAGAACAAAGGAGTACGTGAAAAGGTCTAGATTCAATGATTAGTGGGGAACATTAAGGGACCCTTAAGGAATCTAGGGTATTCCTGGGATCCTCCTTAAGATTTGGAGGCTGATGTGAAAAAGGCAGGACAGTCCCGCGGGGGCACCGTGAGGCTTGCTCAGGGCCTTGGGGACCCTGGCACGAGCCCCCTGAAGTTTGCTGCCGGAGCCCTTTGGCAGACCGGTGGACCCACATCCTGGCAGCCAGGCCCCCCTCGGCAGTCTCTGGCCAGGAACACTGCCAGGCACGGCCTGGCCGACATGGGAAAAGGCATGTGAGTGTGAGGCTATTTTTGCCGGGAAACGTGGGAAAATAAAAACGGCCGATGTCGGAAAGCACCCTGCCAACAGCAGGCCGGTGGGGCCGCCGGACTTGCCCACTTAGGTGTGGGTGTGGCTGGTGGGGCACAGGCTCGGTCTGGGGCCAATCAGACGTGACCTCTGCTCCCCCGGCCCCGAGGGGTAACTCCGAGGGCAGAGGGATGGACGAGGAGTACTCCTGTGCGGACCGAGGCCTGAGATGACCGGACTGAGCCTCCACAGGATGGGACGGGTCCCAGAGAACTCACCAGGGACCAGGGCCTTTGCAAACTGGAGGTCACGGGGTGACATTTCCATCGGTGGAGAAGGGAAGGGGGTGGAGCCGGCAGAGCGAGCAGCTTCAGCTGAAGTTTGCGCCATGCAGCTGGCGAAGGACATGTGACCATTCGGTTGAGCCACGGCAGCGTGTGGAGGTGTCCCTGGACTGCCGTGCACACCCCTTGCCGACCTTCGCGGCGCTGGCAACCAGCCAGCCTCACGTCGTCGGGTAGGTCCTGCTCGCACACCCATTGCACAGGCCACAAAGCAAGGCACAGCGGGGTCACATGTCGCCTGATCCTGCACAGCCGTGACCTGAACCCAGCCCCCTTCCTCTTGCTCGGCGGCCGCCAGCTGCATGGTTCTTTCGGTTTCCACTGACGCTAGGTCAGCACCATCAGCGGGCCTGCCAGCTCTCCGTGGCTGAGGTCAGCAGCGTAGACGAGAATGTCTGCACCATCCAGAGAGTCCTGCCGGACGGCTCGGCCTACAGAACGGCAGCCAAGCCGGGAGGCGGCCGAGAGCGCTGACCCGACCCCCCACGGAAGGTGGGCGGGGTGACAGCAGCCCGTCTCCTCCCGTCTCGCTGCCCCTCCACCAGCCCGTGAGGGCGGCCAGGGCCCTAGAAGCCAAGTCCCTGACCACCATGTGGGGGTGGCCACCTGCCAGGAAGAAACGCCCTCCTCAGACCATCCCAGGGTCCAGAGATGACCCTGTGGGGCTGCAGCCACTGCCCAGGGGTGGCCTGCCTGCTCCGGCCGCTCAGCCGGAGCTGCGCCCGGGCCCTGGGGACCCGGAGCCCACCCTCTCAGCTGCTACGTGTCGGCTGGGAAGACCTTTCAAACGGCACCAGCAACTTGGCTGCTCTCCAACCAAAAGTTGGAGACGGCTCCTCCTGACGTGGGGAACGGGATCCAGTAATGAAGTGGCCTGTCCACCGGTCCGCCTGTCCGTCCGCTGTGCCTCTTCACGTCTGTGTGCGGCTGCTTCTGCAGAGCCTTTCCCGGCGTCCTCGGCTGCAGAAACCCTACGCCCCCTCTGAAGCCGGGCTCCAGCCAACCTTCCCTCTCGCGGCCGCTTCCCTGCAGCCGGAATGGCTCCCTCGCCCCCCGCACCGGCTGGTTTTCTCTCCGGAGCAGCTTGGCCCCAGGCGGTAATAACGAAGGTGGTGATAATAACAGTGCTGATAATGACCGTAATTGCTGGGTAACTCTTGTGGTTCTAGGCAATCTGCATATATTAACTCATGCCGTTCCTCGCCAGCCCTGTGAGGCAGGTGCTGGTATTGCCTCCGTTTTGCCCACGAGGAGCCGAGCCAGAGAGAGGCCTGCACTTGACCCTTGGCTGAGAATGAAAGAGCTGGGTTTGCAGCCCGGGTGGTGTGAGTTGGGGTGGGGCCGGGGGACCTCTGTGCATGCTACGCCCCAACCAACCGGGAGCTGCCACTGTCAGGAAGCACGTGGGTCCCCTCTCGGGGCTCCCGAGGCCTGGGCACAGGGCCAGACATGTGGGTGCTGGTTGTCGGGGGTGGCTTCTCCAGCTCAAGGGCCGAGGCCTGAGGATGGGGCTGCTCGGGCCCCTGTGTTGCCCCTTGAGGTCACGTAGAGCCCGCCCTGCAACACCCCCACCAGCTCCTTTGGTCTGGCCCTTCTGTGGAAGGCTGGTTTCTGACACCCTCAACCTCAGTCAGAAAATCCGTTCATGGCTTTTTAACAGCCCGGACTGAGCCAGAGCCCAGGAAGCGTGAACTGTTCTGTCGGCTGCTCTGGGGAGCTGGGAGCAGACGGCGAAGGGCCCCCTGCAGCCCCAGTTCCGTCTGGAAGCTCAGCTGCCTCGGCCGACCCTCCGCTCCGTCTGCTCAGTCATCTCTAGCCAAACCCAACCCAGACGGGTGGCAGATCCAGGCCATCGAACGCCGCTGCGAAGGCAAAGCCCTACGCTGCCGAGGACCTGCACTCCCGGCGTCTTTGCCCCCTGGCCCTGCAGAGACGCAGAGACTCGGAGACGGCAGCCTCCCGGGCTGTCTGTGAGCCTCGCTGTGGGTTCAGAGCACAGAGCTGCGGGTTTTGCCGTCACGCTGGCCCTCCCCCGCGTCCGACCAGTAGGGAAGCACAGGCGCGGAGAGAGGGGGGTTCGCGGGTCTTGGAGCCTGGGCTCGGTCAGGCCCGACTGACATGCTCTCCACACACAACGGAGACGCACGCTGGCAGGCGCCCCCTCTGAGAAGGAAGTTTCAGGGACAGTGAGGAGGAGGGCGGGGGAGAAACCGGGGCCTCGGGACAGCCCCCAGCTCTGCATGTGCACTTCCTCTCCCTGGGACCCCAATGCCCCCTGTGTGCCCAGGGCGGAGACCGCCAGGGGGCCGCCCCCTTTCCCTCTTCCTTTTACTGGACGTCAGTCACCGGCCCAGACTCGCTGGTCCCTGGTCACTGCACCAGCAGACACAGGAGCTGGCCGCTGTCACGGCCTTGACAGATGGTCAGTGTGATTTATGGTGCGAGCCTCATGCCGATTCTCGGGTCAGTTTGGGCTCATTCCCAGGTCACAGACGAGAGCACTCGGGGCAGTGCTCTCGTCGGAAAGGATGGTGCCGTGACCACGCGTCCTGCGCCCTCCTGTACACACGGAGCCTTCGGTTTGAATCCGACTCTGCCTGCTGGGGGCGGAGGCCCGTGAGCCAGGAACCGACAGAGACGCTCTGACTGACAGCATCGTTTTTACCTTCTAGCCGCCTCTGGCAAAGGCCACCAATGAATAAACGCGGCAATCACTGAAATTGCCGTGGACTTCCCCTAGAGACACAGAGGCTGCTTCCTTTCGGCCTCCCTCCGCCGATCTGCTCCTCCTGGCCGGGAATCGGGGAGCACCCGCGGCTGGCGTGGTGGCTTCTCCTGGAAGCTGCTGGCCCCTGAAGCACCTGGGACCCGAGCAGCCGGGACTCGGAAGGGAGTGAGAAGTCTGCCTGCGGCCGGAGCCGTGTCTGAGTTTGTGCGGGGACCGCCTCAGCAGTGGGGCACCCGCTGCCCGTGCTGGGTGCCCAGGCCACCGCGGTGGACTACTCTGTGCACCAAGAAACCCTCCCTCTTCTCCTCGCTCCCCGGGCCATCATGTCGGCCAGTCACCGGCACGCTGTCCTCCCAAGACAGCTGCCGTGTTCCGACTCAGGCTGCTGCCAAGGCCTTTGAATCAGGGTCTGTTGGAGCTTCCTCCCCCCCAGCACCCTCTCCAGAAAAGCCACAGGACCCAGGTGTGGGCAGCACCTGCCTCCCTCAGGTGCCATGGTGACCTGGAGGCTTTGGGGTGGCCCCGTCCCAGCGCTGTGCTGCCAGGGTCTGTCCCAGCAACCTCGCCTCGCAGGTACAATGTCGGGACCCATGGTTCTGCACCACGGAGCTCGTGGAGGGCCTGTCCCGGTGGACACGAGCACCTCCAGACGGCGGTCATGCACGGCCCAGAGGCTCAGCAGCGAGTGGGGTCACTGATTCTGCCGGCTCCTTCCCTCCAACGCTGAGGGGCAGACCTCCGGGGGGACCTTGGCCAGCAGTTTCCACGGGCACCCACCACCTCCAGAGACTACGCTCCCCGCCATTCCAGGCCAGCTGGCGGGGGCGCCCCGGGGAGCAGGGCAGGTTTGGAGCGGAAGCTTCAGCCCCAGCCCCATTGCCAGCAGGGGAGGAAGGGGCAGCAGGGACAAGAAGGGCAACCTTGGCTGCCCACAGCGCCAGGGCCGTGGGACAGCAAACCCTGTGCTGGGAAGGACTTAATAACTCACTGTGGTCATGGACTGCAGACAAATGCATTGCACAGCTCAATTTTCCGCCAGCCAGGTTCTATGAGTGCTTCCACGGGAAAGCCAGAAAGAATGACATTTTATATGGAACAATAAGTTCCTCTGTAAGCCACAAAGCCCCACAGATCTGTAGCTAATAAACCGGCAAACGTGGGGTAATGAGAGACTGGCAAGGAAGGGTCCCCTCGACCCATCCAGAGCCTGTGTGGTCTGGCCGTGGGCGCTGGGCGGGAGGCAGTGACCCAGCTCCAATCCCGGCCCCTGGTTTGCCGGGTGACCTCGGTGAGCCACGCCTCGTCTGCCGGCCTCCTCACCTGTGACACCAGGGGACATGATTCCTGCCTGGACAGGTGGATGGGAGGGGAACAAGCAAGAAAGGAGACGCCGCAGCCTTTGGGAAAAAGGCACTTTCACTTCCCCTCCCACCGCCTGACACGCATGGAGCTCCGCTTCATTTTGGACCACGAGGCAGAGCCCCGGATGTGCCCACTCCGCCCCTCCTGGGCCTTGTATCACACGGTTGCTGGCCGGTGCTGATGAGAGGGAGCTGGGCCAGAGGGTGTCCACCCTGCCATGGCCCCAGGCCCCCTCCCAGGAGAAAGTCCAGCAGCCCAGGGGCCCTGATTCATCGGATTTGCTTCATGAGATGGTAACGAGGCCCAGAGCCCGAGACCCAAGCCCCAGGGAGGGTCCCCTCCGAGTCCTGGCTGATATCAGACGCCCATATCTGAGGTGTGGGGCAGGCCCCTGGGGTGGCAGTGCATTTGCTCGGCTCTTTTTGGGGGGCACAGTTTTTATTGGCATTTGCCGGTGGCACGGAACAGCGCCCTGGTCTCTGTGCTGCGTGTCCCATGGACCACACGTGGGACGCTGAGGCAGAACCTCTCCAGCACCACTGCTGCCCAAGAACTCTCAGCCCAGACGCCTGGAAGGCCTGTGACTGGCCAGACCCTCGGGAGCCAGCCCTGACGGAGCCAGGTCCGGGGCTTCACCGGCACCTGTGAACTCCAGACACGGGCAGCTGGCCCCGCATCTCCGGATCGGGTCTGAGCTGCAAAGTGAGGAGATAAAACCTCACGGGCCGACCTGCCTCTGACTCTGAATTTCTCGGCAGGGACGGGTGCCCTTGTGGGGGCGTGGGAGTGAGGGGCGCCCACAGGACAGGACTCTCCTCCTGCAAGCAGCTGGGGACAGTCTCACCCTGCGAGCCAAGCCTCCCCAGAGTGCAGTGGGGCTGGAGCCTGGGGCTGGGTGCCTGCATGGTGGGGCACAGCGGTGTCCAGCCCCTGGGCCTTGCCTGCCCCTCTTGGATTTGCTGGGTCTTTTGGAGCAAAAGAGAGCAGGGTGCATGCTCAACGGCCAACTCCTCTCCCTCCGAGGTCGCCCTGCTGCTGGGCAGCTGAGGGAAAAGAGGCCCAAGGCTGCAGGCACTGGCTCCAGCCAGCCGGCAGGGACAGAGGTGGCAGTAGAACCCGGGGCGCCTGGCCCCAGAGCAGCGCGGGTCACTGGCCACACCGCCCCGGGTGCTTCTGCAGTAGGTAGTGATGCTGTGCATGCGGGGGGTGAGGGAGCACGTTGGTGCTGGGTGAAAAACGCAGCGGGCTTAGCTACATGGCACGTGAACTGTGTGCGTGCATGACCACACGTGTGCTTGCCCACACCTGGCCCCTCCTGCACAGGTGGAAGGGCTGGGTGCCGGAGCCAAACCACAGCTGGGGCAGAGCAGGAGGGGGTTGGATCCTCCCTCTGCTGCAGAGATGAGAGGGGTCTGAGAGGCAGAGATTTTCGGCCCGAGGGAGAAACACCCGGCCAGCCAGGAGCGCACATGAAAAGCTCCACAGTCATCACTGAGGCTGCAAAGCTCGACAATTATCCAACAATTAAAAGCTTTGACTCCGGCTTTCATTCTGCTGCCGCACCCCTCCCACATCTGGCTGCCCCCAGGCTCGGCAAGTGCTGCTCCTCGGACAGAGGATAAAGAACACACTTTCCCCTTTTTAATTGGGGATCAGAAGTTGGAAGCGGAGCTGATCCCTGCAGGGTGGGAAGGAAGGAAGGGGTGTTGCCCAGCCAGCCTGCCAAGGAGGGGCTGGGAGGGAGGAGGGGTGCAGGGCGAGATCCCCAGAAGCCACGCGGCAGCCAACTGTGGGGACCAGCGCTTTTCCTACTGACTCTCGGACTAGCAACTGGACGCGGAGAGCGCAGGACGTGGCCGAGGTCACAGCTGGAAGGACCCCTCCAGGCCCCGGTTCCCGGCGCTCTGCCCCAGCCCCAGCCCCTGCCGCCTCACTGTGTGGAGTGGGGGTGGGGCACTTCTCCATCCCTCACCTTGGCTTCCCTGCCTGTGCAGTGAGTGCAGGCTTTCTGGCGGCCCTGCGCCCTGCACATCAAAAGCTCGGTGGGCGCTGGGCGGCAGGCCGCTCTGTAGTGCAGCCAGCACCGGCCGCACCCGGCGCAGTGTGCCAGTGGCTAATTGAGAAAGAAGCGGGCAGCGTGCCCTGCAGTGAGGAAATCGCTGCCGGTCGGCTTTTCAGAGGAGCTGACCCTCACCCAGCATGTGGGCCCCCACGGCTTCCCAGCAGAGCAAGCCCACACCCGGCAGGCAGGCGGGCGGGCAGGCAGCCTGAGTCCGCCCAGAGCTCTGAGTCCCCACACACCCGGCAGGGCAGAGCCACACACTCACACTCCACGCAAGTGGCGGAGGACGACCAGGCACCGAGGGAGGACTGACGTCCGTCTGGCGAGTGAACACACCACCCTGGGCCCACTCGGTCTCCGACAGGCAGTGCGGTCCCTGGGCGTCAGAGCCCTGACCGTGACTGCCCGCCACCCTGGGCAGCTGCCGGGGCAGCACTCCCCCCGTCTGGCCCAGGGCAGGAGACAGGCTGTGTTTCCTGCCAGCAGGCTGGGCAGCCCTGCGCCCACCCCCGGGCATGAGGTCAGCAGCAGGAACAGCTGGGCCAGCTCTGACGTTCTCCCACATGTTCCTGGACTTCCCGGGGCACAGGCGGAGGAGGGGACCGTAGTCCTGTCCTGAATGCCCCCCTCAATCACAAACCCGAACGACCCAGCCTCTGGGACACGCGCACCCAAAGCCCCCACACTCGGCCTCCTCCGTGAGCCCTTCCTGACCTCGGTGGCTGGCTGGCGCCTGCCGCCGGGGCCTGCTCCCTGGGCCACCCCAAGCTCCTGGAGGGCACGGTCCACCCGCCCAAGGCGGGAGGAACTTCTCATTCATTCACTGGGGTGATGAGCTAGACAGTGCCGGGGAGGGCGTGGGGGGGCAGCCGGACGCCAGCACCCCCCCCAGGGCCAGGCTGCGGCAGCGGGCGCATGGGCAGGATGGAGCTCGGCCACAACCCCACACTCACAGCGTCTCCAGACTGTGCAGCCCCTCAAAGCTGTGGGTCCCCAGGCGCTGGATTCGGTTGTTATGTAGATGCCTGTGTGGGAGGAAAGAGTCGTCAGGCCGGGGCCCACAGCACGGAGCCTGGGGTCGGGCAGGGGCAGACGGCAGCTTAAGGAGGACAGCGGAGGCTGCCACATGGACAGGGTGACCCCAGTGGTCCAGCCCTCGACCCCAGACACAAAAGGATTGACCGAGACAGACATCGGAAGTCGGAGTCTCTGAGGCCGGGTGGACCACAGGCCACCCCTCTCCAACTTCTGGTTAAAGGGAAGCGAAGTGGAGCCACCGGGCCACAGCCGGTACCGTTCCTGCCACCTCTCAGAGAGGCCTGGTTCAGAGGGGGCTCTGGTCTGAGGCTTCCTCTCTGGTCCTGCTCCCCAGGACCCAGCCTGCCTGACTCAGTGGCCGGACACGCTGATGGCAGCCAACAGCCAACCGCGGCAGACAACATATAATTAAGGGCCCAGTGTTCTGTTACAGGGCTGCAGACAGGCGAGTGAGGCAGCGGGGACTGGTGAAGCCAGAGCAATCAGGGAGGGCTTTCTGGAGGCGGTGACCCAGAGCAGGGCCTTGGAGGGAAGGAGATCTGGACAAGCAGAGGGAAGGGTGTCCCAAGCACCAGTGTCCATAGCGACGAAGTGTAGGCTGGAGAGGGGCCTGGCCGAGGGGGCACACAGGCTGGGAGAGAATTCCGAGATAAACAGCTAATTGAAAATGAGTGACAGGATGTTCTTCTCCCAGTTCCTAATGAAATGAGTGAAATAGCAAAAACCCCACTGCTGCCCCAGATACTACAAGTAGCAACGAGGCAAGGACAGACATAACCTAATGCCAGCAAACTGCAAAACCTGGAGGCAAAGGGCTCGCACACGCACGAAAACAAAACCCTGAGAATTCTCCCTGAAACCCCCAAATTTGAAGAGAGGCAGCTCCGTGGACGTTCTTTCTCTCTGCACTGCTTCCAAGCCCAAGGCTCTGAGCCACGCACCGAGTTAGGGTCCGGGTGGAGGGCGTGACTCGGGCGTTTCACAGCTCCCGGACCTGCTGGGCCAGCAGAGCCAGGGGTCTGCGGAGGCCGGGTGCCTCCTCCAAGCACCCCCACCTCGCTCCACCGGGGCTCGCACACCTGGGGGAGCCCAGTGTACCTGCCAGACAGGCCCGCAAACTGCAGTTTGGAGGGGGGACCCCACGGGCCAACAGTGACGCCGTGGGGCCAGGAGACAGCTATCCACGCGAAGGCCCCAAAAGGGAGTCACATGGCAACTAGGAAACAGCGGGTGGGAGACACCTGGGTGCAAAGGTCAGTCCTGAAGGAAGACGCAGCTCACGAGAGAGGAGCAGAAGGGAAACAGCACAGCCACCTTCTGCTGCAAACCGTCGGCTGAAGCACCGAGTCAAAGACTTTGAAAATGAAAGGAAAAGTGACGTCACGGGCCAAGGGAGCAAGTGGAGGGCAGAAACTACATCCTAAAACACCAGTCCCTGGGTTTGAAACAGCTGCAGCCACAGTCAGAGACAGTGGAGACACCGTGGCGAGCAGGGCAGCCGGTGGGAGGCGCGGGTGAGGGCGGCAGGGAGTGGGAGGGGAGGACCCTGGTGACTCAGCACGGAGACACTGGTGTCCCCGAGGGAGGGACTGGGCAGTGAGACAGAAGGGGCATTCGGGGGTGGCACACGAAAGAGAACTCCCCCGGATGAGGAGGGCCTGGGATCTGAAGCTGAACAGCACCCATTGTTTCCGGGGAGCTGGATGCGGGGGTCGCACAGAGTGCCTGGGATCTCGCATTAAAGGCAGAAAGGAAATCGCCTCCTGGAGGAGGCAGGTGGGCCTCCAGGTGTCCTGCGAGCAGACCCGCCCAGCAGAGTGGCCAGGGCTGGGCCTTGAGGGACCTGCCAGTCCCCCATCCTTGTCACATGCTCCACCAGGTCCCAGTGGGGACAGACCCCTCCTGCAGGGAGCTTCTGATCTACTGGAATCACAGCCCCACCTTCTGGGTGGAAACTGTCCTCCCTACCCAAGGGGTGATCTGGCCCCCAGTTCCTCCCCAGCCTCACCAAACGCTGTCACTTCTTCCTGCCTCCTGTTGAGCTCCGGTCTCCATCCTACGCCCTGCCTCCCACAGCATCTCTGCTCCAAGTCTCAGTTTTGCAAACCCCTGCACCCCCGCCTCCACCTCCCTCCTGCAAGCCACTTGCTCAGCCCAGGGTGCTGGGCCCCGCCTGGGGCAGGTGCTGGGGTCAGGCTCAGGCGGAAGAGCCACTGCCGTCCCACCAAGGGCCGCCTGGGGCCTGGCAGAGCACGGGAGGGGGCTGCCTCCGGCCAGACCCCTGCCCATCACGTGGGGGCCGCCCCGTCTGGCTCCCTGGCCTTCCTGCAGCTCATCCCCCGAAGGTCACGGCCACGAACCCCGTTTCCTCCATCCCCGTGAGCTGGGAGTAGGTGGGGGACAGAGCGGGTCCCTGGCCCTGCCCTAGAGAAGGGTCGTCTCTGCCCCTGGGTCAGGCTCCCGCCCCTGTGATCCCCTCGCTGCCTCGGTCCCACTCCCTCCTCCGGCCCAGCAGCACCCCCTCCTTGGTCTGCGGCGGCCGAGCTTCTAACCTCTGGGGCCCAACACACTTCTGAGTCCTTCTTGATTCCCCTTCTCAAAATCCCAGCCTCGAAAAACCTCTACGTCAAGTCACTTCTTCCTTCAAACTGGCCTTCCAGTGCTGCCTCCCCTCCAGCCCTCAGCCACCTCCACGCGGAGCCTCCCGCCGCCCTTTCTGTCTCGGTCCCCGGTTCCCCACCTCCTCCCCATTCGCCTTTCACCCTCCCCCGAAACCCTCACACTCCCTCCCCCACTCACAGACGAATCACCTCCGACGTGGCGAGGCCCGAACTCCGTCCACGGCCTCTTCTCCTGGACTGCCCACCCGAGTGTCGTCACCAGTACTGCTGGGTCTCTCACTCCCCTCCCTGCGTAACCTCCTCACCTGTCTGCACCCGTCCAGGCCAGGGCCCGCCCCCTCCGGACCCAGTGGCTCCGACGCATCCGAGGGCAGGAGCTATGCTTCCCCGTCTTCCTCCTGCTGTTCCCACTGGACCGTCACCCGGGAGGGCAGCGGCTGTACCCACACTCCAGTGCGTCTGCCTGCACCCCCACCCGGGCGCTGCTGAGGACCGCGCCCAGGCCCTGGCTTCCCCCAGGCCCTGACCCCACTCCCTCGGGCTGCTGCCGGGGTGTCGCCGAAGCTACGGTGAAACACCCGAACCCTCTGCAGGTGCCGGCCTCCCTGGGACAGAGCCCCTAACACACATGTTCCCGCAGCAGCTGGTGCGGAGCCCGCAGCAGTCACGCATGACCTCGGAGCCCTCCTCGACCCCCCTGTGAACCCGCCCGTCACTCACGGCAATTAGCTGGGAGCTAATTTGCCTCCACGGCCACCACCACCCCCGCCCCGGGGAGGCAGGGCTCACCCTGTGCCCACCGCTGCCAGGGCTGCTGTCTCCCAGGTGATTACCCCCGGGCCAGGCTGGCTAATTACCGGTGACGGCTGCTTCTCTGGGCCTGGGAGCCACGAATGCACCCTGTTCCTGGGCCAAAGCGCCAGCCGCCCCACCTGGTCGCCTGGCAGGGTGGGAGTCCCTTAAGGCAGTCTGGACCCGCGAGCCCATTCTCCAGGCACCGCCACTGTGCTCGCCCAGCGAGACACACAGCTTCTGCCCTCCGAGGGCCTCCTCTAGTTCCAGCGACACTTGGTCTGAAGACAGTCGCACGGGGACGGAGGGGCACAGAGGGGGCGCAGAGGGGTCACGGAGCGGGAGGGCAGCCCTGCAGAGTGAGGAGCAGTGCCCTCGGGCTCCCCGCAGCGGGCGCGTGGCCGGGCCCCAGGGGGCAGCGGGGTGGAGCATATACTCACAGCACCACCAGGCTGCTGAGGTTCTGGAAGGCATAGTCGGGGACGTAGCTGATGCGGTTGAGGGCCAGGGTCATGGCCTGCAGGGCGGGGAGGTTGTTGAGGGCCCTGACGGGGACCTCGGTGAGGGCGTTGTCATCTAGCCACAGGTGGCGGAGGCGGGACAGCCCCTCGAAGCTCCTCTCTGGGACTCGGGAAATGAGGTTGGCGTCGAGGCGCCTGGAGGGAGAGAGGAAGCGAGGAGGGTCAGTCGGGCAAGATACTGACCAAGGTTGGGGCTGCGCGGGGCAGGCGGCCCGGACCCCAACCGGCTGTGAGGAGGCTAAGCTGTGACCTGGCCCCTGGGCCTGGATCCCCTCTGCAGGGTCCCAGATTCCGCCTCCATCTCGGCCAGCAGTTCTTGACCCCTTGTGCCGTGCGGTTCTGCTTTCTCATAGACCTCGGGTGAACTATACCCCACGTGTGGGTAACCGGTGCGTCCCCGCACCCAGCTCCCACTGCCCCTGCTCTGGTAAGTCTCTGTCCTTCCCACAGCTGTCCACTCCACGGCCATAACATCAAGGTCCCCCCACTGACAGAGAGCACCCCCTCCCTCCGGCCTAACCACGACAACGCTCCCAAACATGTGGCTGCCCCCTGACCCCCAGCGCAGCAGGACCTCGTCCCTCCAGGGCCCAGCGGACTGACGGGTCACCCTGCTCAGCTGACCGGACACGCTGGGACCCGGTCCCTTCCAGGAGCCCTCCGCAGCAAGGCCGTCCCTCCAGGTGCGGTCCTCCCAGGGCGGCCACCCTCCCCTGGATGCTCGGGCTGGGGCTGGGTCGCCTGGGGCTGCGGGCACACACGGAGCCTCGAGCCCCGCCCAGGGGAGTCTGGTTCAGAAGGGGGCACTGGGCATCTCTTTGTGAAGACCACCCTAGAGGCGTCCATGCACAGATGGGTTGGGTCATATAAACATAAGAATGTGAAGAGAGTGTCTCCATCCCCCCCGAGTCACAGCTCAGTGACGGGGTGGGGAGCAGGAAAGGCTCCAGGCACAAGTGAGGCGGGACTGGGGGCTCAGGAGGAGTTTGTCGGGGGAGTAGACAGTGTCTGGCAGACGGGGAACCAGAGAGGGGAGGGCCGGGTGAGGCCGGCCAGGCAGGTGGGGGCCGGGCTCTGGAGGAGGCTCAGAAGCCACCACTTGGGACTGAAAGAGCCTTTTGAGCCGCTCCCTCCGCAGGCAGAACAGCAGCCCAGACAGACCCTGGTTTGGCAGGAAGGAGAGAGAGTCATACTAGTGAAGCCCTGGAATCAGCCGGCAGCCCCAGCAGCCCCCCCACTGTGCGTGGGCCCGGGTGCCCCGAGCGGTTTCTGCTGACCTCTCCTGTCTGTGCGGACACGGCAGGTGAGCGGGGCCTGGAGGGCCAGTCGGGGCTGCCTGGGCTCCGGGAACTGCTTGACCCCCTAGAGCCACACGGCTCCCTGCCCCTACCCGCCAGGGCTGAGGCTGAGACTGAGGTGGGGGGTCCCCAGGGGCAGGTGGTCGGAAGGCCCGGCCACAGACACCCCCTGAGAGCTGGGGAGGGGGTCCCTCCCGACTAACGGAGGTGATCGGTTGAGCAGTTCACTGACTGCAACACACAAAACAGGGCAACGGAGAACTCGGGGCCCCGCCCTCTCAGGCCCCACCCACAGGTAAGCGAGAGGAGACCCGGTTGGAAGACCGGCAGCCCTGACCCACCTGCTGGGGAGGGGAGGCCAGGGGGGCCTCCGGCACCCACACAGCTGAGGAGGTGCCGGCCTGTGCCCCAGGTGCCCAGCCCAGGTGCCTCCACACCATGAGCACCCACAGAGCCTTCCCGGAGGGCCCGCTCTAGTCCCATGAGGCCTCTGCTGCCCCCAAACCCTGCCCCTCTCCCTGCTGGGGCTCCTGCCCCTGGTGGGGGACGGAGGTGGGGGCGGCGGAGCGCCACAGCAGCAGCCCCCTCCACGGGAAGGGTCTGAGTTTCTCGTTTCCGGTTTGCGCCACCGAGTCAGACCCTCCCCCCCTCACGGTCAGCCTTTCGATGGGTCAGAGGTGAGACGTTAGTGCAGAGGCCACACCGGGCTGAGCCGCCCTCCCTCCACCTGTCCGACACCGAAAGCCGGTCCTTTCTGCACATCAGAGGGGGGCACCCGAGCACCCCTCCCGCCCTTTGTTTGCATGGGCAGCCGAGGGTGAAAGTAGTGGCCCTCCCAGCTCAGCTGCAGGGAGGCTCGGGAGAGGCCGCGTGGACTCGTCACGAGTCTCCCCTGAAGGTGCAGGCCTGCGGCTCCGGGCAGCTTTGTGGGTGACGGTCCCGGAATCCTGGGGCGGGGCCCACAAAAAGCCATCTCATCTGTCTCCCTGGCTCCTTGAGTCACACCGGCTTCTGGGTCCCCCCTGGACCGTCTGACAGGAGGCTGAGAGCTGGGCCCCGTGGCTCCCCGGCCCCGCCCTCGGCCACGGGCAGCGGAGGGACAGGCAGACGGGGTTTTCCCAACGCGCCTCTCCAGGGAGGGCCAGTGCTGTCGGAGGTTTAGGAAACGTAAGCACCATCCCAGGGTTTTACGTAAAAGATGCCCCAGCACACTCTGCAGTGAGAGGCACCAGGGAAAACCAGCCTCGTGGGAACACTTTTAAAGGCGCCCTGGGAGGGGAGGGGGAGGAAAAGTCCCCACCGGCTCCGGCTTCCCTAACACGGGCCCTAATCCCTCTCGGGGCCTGTCTTTTCCCATTCCAGGGCCTCGTAGCTTCCCTGTGGACCAGGAGAGCCGGCGGTTCACGGCTGCGTGGTGTCGGCCCTCTTCTCCCAGCCTCCCAGCCTCCCACCCATCCATCCGTCCATCCGTCCACGTGTCCGTCCTTCCATCCACTCACGCAGACTACAGACACCCACTCCATCTCCCTGCTCCGGTCTTGTCTTCCTCTTGCTCAGAGGCACCCAAGCTTCCGACGACTGCAGATCCTTCAGCCTGGGCTTCGACGCCCCAGCCCCACTTGCCAGAGGCCCCCCACTGCCCACTTCACCCAGGAGATGCGCCTCTCTGCCGCCCGGTCCCTGAGTTCGTGGTCGTTCACCGGCCCTGTTGGGAAGAGGCCTCTGCCTCCTCTTCTCCAAGCCTCACCTACAATTCCTCTCCTTCAGGGGCCTCCCGACCGAGCCCCACCCGGCACTGGTCCCTCCCACACGCACACCCCTCTCCTCGCCGACGGAGCCACAGGGCCCCCGCCCGCCCCGCACTGCGGCGTCCCTTCTAGGAGGGAGACCGCGGACGCAGGCACAGCCCGGGACACGTCTCCTCGGGGGTTCACAGCAGCACATTCACAACCCAACAGAGGAAGCAGCTGCGTGTCCACCAGCCAAAGGCGCACACACCGGGGGCAACCCAGCCACAGAAAAAAATCGGTGCAGACTCGCGTGTGAATGCACGCGTGGGCGGACCGTGAAACTGCCGTGCTCAGCGAGAGAGGCCCGACGGAACGCCGGTTCCAGTCCTGTGACGCGTCCAGAGACCAGAGCTGCCAGGGGCTGTGGGAAGGGGACCGACCCCACCCCCGCAAGCACCGATTTTTTGGGGGGGGAGCAACGAAAATGTTCTGGAATCCGTCTCGATGGTCGCGCAGGCTTGTAAGGAGTCTGAGCACAGAGGACCGTGTGCTTTCCAAGGTTCTGCTCCGTGGTACATCCTGACGTCCTTGAATACCTGAGGCTGAGACGATGGCGCTGGTCCCTTGGGAGTGCGACTAGAAGGGACTCTGAGCCGGGCCGGGCTGGCAGAGACTGCACTTGGGGGCGGGGGGGGGGCCCTGAGTGCCCTTGGGGACAGGCGGCCCTGAGCGGGAGCGTTGTGTCTGGGTGGCACAACTGTGGGTGATTTTCAGTTTCCTCTTTTTGGTTTTTGTGTTTTCTAAATTTTCTACAATGAGTCAGAACAGAAATAAACATGTTGTTTTAAAAACAAATGGCGTCAGTGTGTAATTAAGGCCCAGACGCGGGAGCCGGGAGGAGGCAGCCGGCAGAGCTGGGGGGGCAGGACGCCGCCAGGGGGGAGGGAAGGGGGGGCAGCCGCCGGGAGACGTGGGGGGGGGGACGCCCTGCTCTGGGCCCCGCTCTGGGCCCCATGGTGCCCTGGCTCTCCCACCTGGTGGGTTGCCGGGTCCTGGCAGTGGAGTCGCCTGGACATTGCTGTGGTCCAGGCTCTCTGCCGCTGGGGTCTCCTGACCGCCCCCCACTCAGCTAGGGTCCTTGAGCAGTGCTGGACCCTGTGCGATTCAGACCCTTGGCAGGCCACACAGCAGACAGGGACCCGCTGCCTTGGGGCGGGCACAGCGACTTTCACAGACTTCACAGATGCCAAAGGCTACCACCTAGTGTCCCACCCTGACTGCTGAAGCCAGATGTCTAGATAGTATCAAAACGGACTTAAGGCTCAGAGTCAGATGGAGTAGTCTAGGAGGACTTCCTGGAGGAGGTGAGGGCTGTACTGACATGGGAAGGCTTAGAGGTAGAAGAGGGCAGGTTTGGGGACCTGGGGGACATGGGGGAAGGGACTTCGCTGCCATTCATGGGCAGCAGGGGCACCACCAGAGACTGGTGTGACTCGGGGGGAGATTCGCCCCAGCTGGGCCTGGGGCTGGTGGGTTCTGGTCAGAGGAGCGAGACTGCTTACCAGGGGTGTCCAAGCTTTGGGCATCTCTGGGCCACACATTAAATACACTGTGACGTGTAACCACAAACAAAAACTCGTCACGTTTTAAGTAAATGCACGGTTTTGTGTTGGGCCGCACACGGCCTTCGGGCCACAAGTGGGACACCCCTGGCTCAGTGGTGACCTGGGGGAGCCTCAGGCACCACCCTTCAGCAGGTCCCCAGGTCTGTTCACCCCCATGCAGGGCAGAGCCAGGCCCCAGGGACCCAGCCTCCCTCCACTGCCCCCTCCCCTCTTCCCACCCGCCTTCCAGGTGGCTCCGCGCCCTCCAGGTGTTCTGAGGGGTTTTTATGACAAGCCCCCTCAGGCCCGAGGTTAGCAGATGTGCAGCGAAGGGGCAGGCAGGGGAAGAAGCTAGGGCATCCCAGCTGCGTTAGGGTCTCTGGCCCCATCTTCATCTGCACCCCAGCCTGGAGCTCCAGAAACTCCAGGCGCCCCAGAGTCAGCACCGGCCTCCCCTTCAGGGACCCCTCTGTTCCCCACGAGGGTGGAGGGGCTGCAGACAG